CTAGAACTAAAACAATCCCTCGTGCCCCCCGTTCCCAAAAGATTTTCTTAACTCTGCACGCAACAATCACAACTTCTCCCACCTCGCAGCCGCCCGCGCCGCTGCGACTTCTTCCACCAAAACAACAACAACAACAATCTCGCCCTCCCGGGCCCCTTTTCAAAACTTTCCCCTCCCCCGTCCGCAATCATGTCTGCCCCCGCCCGCGACGAGTCCGCGCCTGGCGCCGGTGGTGCTGCGCCCGCTGCCGGCAGTGATGGTGACGGTTCTCCCGAGGTAAGTTTCCCTACCTTCCCCCACCCGAGCGCGCGACTCGACCTAACCAATCAGCGCCGTCGTAGCAACCGCGCCCTGGGCGGTTACGCCGTCGAGGGGGACTCTGATGACTCGGAGAATGAGCTCTACGCCGACGAGAACGAGTACTGCGAGGAGTGCGTCGGCAGATTGATGAGGGGCCGCTTTGTTGGGTGCGTTCGTGGCCCTGGCGATGCCTGTGAGGCGTGTCATTCGTCCCGCACCTCCTGCAGATAGGATCCGCAGCTGTGGGCGAATAACCCGTCGCTCCGTTCGGGGCTGAAGAGACTTCGTCGCTGGACCGACAGAGGAGATGCCGTGGCGGAGCCGTTCCAGCCCGGCAAAAACGGGAAGGGTCGGAAGAATGCCGTCCTCAAGCCCGCGTACCGCTCCCTCGTCCGCGCCTTCGAGGGCCGTCTCCTCTCTGCTCGCGCCAACCGTACGCCCGGTCGTAGCGCGTACCACGACACCGCCGTCCCCTCTTCCCGCGCCGCCGTCCCCGTCACCCCCGCTCGCCGTGGGCAAGTCTTCCACGCTAACGATCCGACACTTGAGGCTGTCGGTACCGTCCTGCAGCAGACGCTGCAGACAACCAACCGTGCGCTGCAGCAGATGCAGCAGCAGAACGACACCATTGCGCAGCTTGCACAGATGAACGCCTTGCTCGTTCAGCACACGCTTGGCTTGCCCGCCCCGTCGTCCGCCTCCCGGTCCGTGAACATCGAGTCACCCCCCGGCCCCCGCTTCACCGCCCTGCCGGAGACCCCCCGCGGCCCGCGCCACCGTCAACAGCGCTCCCTCAGCCCTCGTCAAGCTACAGTCATCACTCCATCCCGGGACCGTCGTGCTCACCCATCTCTCCCAGCTGGCGCTCCTGTGGCGCCGACCGTGGAGGGGCAGGAGGAGCACGACGCCGACCCCGCGGGCGGTGACGACTCCGGCGCTTAAGCCCGGCGTTGTCTGTCCGGACGTCGGCCTCGTCCGCCACTCTTCCGTCCTCCCTAGACGGGTTTTTGTGTGTCGCTTGCGTCTATCCGCCACGACACAGTATAGATAATGAAATGGAAATGGGGAATGGATGGGGTGGTACAAAACGAAACGGTATGGAATGGTACGGAAATAGGGACGGTATTAAAATGGCACTCAGTTACGTCCGCGCCGTGTCCTGTTTGACTCTGGTCCATTGTGAAGTGTCGCGTCTCCCCATCGTCTTTCAAAGGCGTCCAAAGCTCTTGTGTCCTTGAATTCCTCTAGCGGTTCCCATGTCGGAGTGTCGTGTCCTATCCATTTCACCAGCACTTGACGCTTGCGTCTCCCCCTTGCATTCTTGGCTGCTAGGATCTCCTCTACCTCCCACTCTTCCTGAGGAACCCCATGGTCGTCCATCATCTGGACCGGCCCCGGCCTGGTGTCTGTCACCACCTGGGACGGGTGAGGGTCGGCCGGGTCTCTCTCCAAGAGGTCGACATGAAAGATGGGGTGCAGCCCCCGGGGAACGTCGAGTCGCACCGTCAGCGGTGTCGGTACCTCCAGCACCTCATACCTTGCGTTCACCCAGTCCAACTTCCGACTTGGTCGACTCGTTCGAATGTTGCGTAGTGACAACCAGACCTTGTCCCCGACCTGGAACCGTTCCGCTGGGCGACGAGACTGGTTCGCGTCGTGCTGTTGGCGCTGCTGGGCGAACGCGATTGCTGCTTGTGTCCAATCTGTGCCCTCCTTGAGGTGATCCAGGAACCGTCTTGCTCTCATCTCGGGCTCGGACGCCGGGGTGTCAGGGACCTCAACTCGTTGGATGGGACTCAGCTCGAAACCGTGCGAGAGGTGGAACGCGCTTGTGCCGGTGACAGATGACGTCCGGTTGTTGATTGCCAGCTGGCAAGCCGGGAGATGGTCCGGCCAGTCGAACTGCGAGAAGGATACAACAATTCGCAGGATTGCCTGAACGTCCTGGTTCACCCTCTCCGTCCCGCCGTCGGTCTGCGGGTGATGGGAGGTTGACAAGAGCTGCTCTATCCCGACCATCCCGCAAAGCGCTGTCCAAAACTTGCTCAACCAGTCCGAACCCCTGTCTGTGATGATCTGTGAGGGGAACCCGTGGAACCGCCACCACACGTCTCGGAACCGTTTCGCGCACTCTTCGGCCCCCATTGAGTGCATTGCCTCGAGCTGAACGTACTTGGACAACCGGTCAGTGATCACCATAAGGTAGCGGGGGGCGTCATCGTCGGCGGCCGGCAGGTCAACCATGAAGTCGATGGAGATCTGCTTCCAGAAACGATCTGCAATGGGGAGTGGCTGCAAGAGGCCTTGTCGTAGCTGTCGAGAGGGTTTGGCCCCTCGGCATGGGCGACAGTTACGTGCAAACCTCTTGGAATCGGCTGACATCCCCTCCCAGTGATAATCCCTTAAGAGCATTTTAAACAACGCATTCTGCCCTGGGTGTCCGGAAACTGGCGAGTCGTGCGTGATCTGCGTCACCTTCGTGGTCAGGGGTTCCCAAGACGGAAGCCACAGGCGTCCCCGGAACTGAAGGGCGCCTTGGGCGTTGAGCGTGCAGTCCGCGATCTGGACTTGGCCAGCATTTGCTTCCTTTGGGAACTTGCGCAGCCCTTCTCGGACGGCCCGGAGTCGGTGAAAATAGTGAGTGTCCTCCCTCACTCCTTGATCCCAGAGAATCACCAGCTGTTCGTCCGCGAAAAGGGTCGTCCCCTGTGGGAGGGATGCCTCCTCCTGGGCCTCGAGGGGGCTCATCTGAATTGCGGGGAGGAGTTGGGCCACCCGCGGTTCGCTGCCTTTCTGGTCCTGTTCCCGTCGGGAGAGTGCGTCTGGACGGGACGCTTGGGAACCGGGTCGGTACTTCAACTCGAAATTAAAAAGCGAGAGTGTCTCAGCCCAACGTGCCTGGCGTTCCGAGATGGGTCGTGGCTGGGAGAAGTATTCGAGGTTCTTGTGGTCTGTCAGTATCGTAAAGGGGGCACTTACGCTCCGTAGCTCGGCCGACCATGCCTTAAGACAGGCAATAATAGCCAGCAACTCTTTGTCGTGGATCGTATAGTTGCGCTCGGCCGTGGTCAGTTTCGCAGAGTGGTAGGCCACAGGGTACAATACCCCGTCTTTACCCTTTTGTGAAAGGCAACCCCCCAGCGCTCGTCCCGAGCAGTCCGCCTCCAACACCGTCTCCCGGTCGGGATCCCACTGAGCGAGGATCGGCTCCGACATGAACTCGGCCTTCAAGGACTCGAATGCCCGTGATTCTTCTGGTCCCCAACGGAAGGGGACGCCCTTCCTCGTCAGGCTGGTCAGCGGGTCTGCCCGTTCGGAGAAGTTCCGAATGAAGTCTCGGTAGAAATTCGCAAACCCAAGAAAGCTCCGCACGCCCCTAAGTTTCGTCGGGGCCTCCCATTCCCTGATGGCCTTCAGCTTCTCGGGGTCTGGCCGGACTTGGGCTCCAGCCTCAACAATGTAGCCCAGATACTTGACCTCCTTTACCGCGAACGCACACTTCTTGAGGTCCAGGGCCAGACCCGCAGCCTTCAGCTTGCCAAGGATAAGTCTTACTTGCTGCATGTGCTCCTTCCTGCTCCCGCTGGAGTAGACCAGGACGTCATCAAGGTAGGCAGTCACGAAGTCGCCAAGCGCTGAACCAAGGGCGTTGTTAATATACCGTTGGAAGGTCGCGGGGGCACCAGCGAGGCCAAAGGGGCAGACGAGCCACTCAAAGAGGCCGAACCTCGTTCGGAATGCGGTGAGGTGTTCCTGTCCCTCGGCCACTCGAATGCGGTGGAAGGCAGAGCGGACGTCGAGCTTCGTGAACCACTTCGCCTTTGCGAGGGATCGAAGCGTTTCTTTGATCAGCGGGATGGGGTACCGGTCTTGCTTCGTGATCTTGTTCAGGGCCCGGTAATCAACACAGAATCTCCATCCTCCGTCCCCCTTTCTAACGAGGAGGACCGGCGCCGCGGCCGCCGATGAACTAGCCCTGACCCATCCTTTGTCCATCAACTCGATGACCTGCTTTCGAACTTCCAGTAAATGATCTCTCGGCATGTTGTACAGTGGGCCCCACGGGAGCTCGGGAACCTTGCCGTCCGGCCCCGTCTTGAGCTCGATGTGGTGATCATCCTTCCCCCGATGAGGGGGCAGGTCGTTGGACTTGTTCTTGTCGAAGAGGTCGGCGAAGTCGCGGAGCTCTGCTGGCAGGTCCCGGGACGGGTCCGAGATAGAAGTGGAGTACGCACGTGACTCTTCCAAGACTGTCGACATTTCCCGAATGCTCGTCGACACCAGGGTTCCCTGTGGACCCTGTCCGCCGCCTTTCCTCTGGGACCTCCGTGCTAGGGCGGCAAACACCGTTCCCATTACCTGGGTCATCTTAGGCGAGTTCCGGCGTGCCGCGCATTCCTTGACGACGAGTCCCGGCTGCGACTCGATCGTCAGCACGCCCTTCTTTGGGTGCATGACCACCCCTCGGTGCTTCATCCAAGGGAGACCCAACAACACGTCGTGGTCCAGTCTCGGGACCACGTAGAACAACACTCGACTCTTCCATCCGTCGATGTCCATCGTCGCCCACGCCATCTGGCGAATCTTCAACCCAGGCTCGACCCCCACCGCAGTCTTCAGTGTCCGGGGTCGTGCCAGGTCCAAACGCTCAAGTCCCAGCTTTCGGCACAATTTTTCGCTAATCGCACCGTAGCTGAGGCAGCCACTATCCACCTGAGCCGTCACGTAATTGGAGTCATCCATGAAGACAGGGATCAAAAAGGGGGGAGAATCCATTCTGTCGACAATTTCTGCTAACTCCTGACTCAGGTGGTTGGGTGCCTGTGGCCCCCTCGCGAGACTCTGCTCGGGGGCTAGGCTTTTCCCTGCTGGGTGTCCTCCTCATCATCCGACACCTCCTCACTAATTCTCACGTCCTCCGACTGGAGACGGTTAACCTCAACTGGGCCGTGGTTGGGCCGCGGCCTGGCCGCTGGTGCCAGTGGACACTCGGATCGGAAGTGTCCCTGGTTGCCGCACCGGAGGCAGACTCCGGCCTCCCGTCGGGCTTGCAAAACATCGTTGCTAACCCATTTCGCTGGCCTCCCGCCTCCCGGTTGCTGCCCTTTCTTTCCCCTGCCTCGTCCATTCCTCTTGCCATCCCGGTTCTCGTTGAACTGGGCCCTGGCGATTCCAGTCATCAGCGTGTCACCGTCCTTGTCCCTGGCTGGTTTGGCCGGGACCAGCTCTTGGGAGCTCTTTTCCAGGATGCGGTCGGGCTCGATTTGTGCGGACAACTCCTTCAGCTGGCTGACCGCTTCGTTGTAGCCGTTGTAACTCACCCCGCGCATGAGCGCCATGTCACGGAGCTTCTTCGTGATCGCCATCCGGAGTTTGACAATGCGCACGGCGTCTGGCCAATCGTGCCCGCCCGCCCGCGACATCTTTTCTTCAAACCGCACCATGAAGGAGGAGAAGGACTCCGTTGGAGTCTGGCGTAGGACTTGAAGCTCCGCGTTAGCGATCTGCTGGTCATGGGGGGTGGAATAAATGCTGTCGAGGTAGGAGATGAACGACTCTGGGGCGAAGTTGTGGATGGGCCCCATAGTAGTATAGTAGTTGGCAACTTTGGACTGGACTTCTGCCTCCAGGTGCATCCAGACGAACAGCCACTGATCCTGGGCCTCTCCAATAAATGCCGAGTCCGTCTGTAGCACCCGTCGGATCGTCATCTTCCAGGCTGCGAAGGACTTCTTAGTACCATCGAAACGGGGAACGTTCTTCGTTGGTTTCCTTGTAAGGGCGGGTCCGGTTGGAGGCCCGCTCGGTGGCGTATCTTCGGCGGGAGGGGGGTCAGGTGGACCTGGGGGGCCACCCGGGGAGGGTGTATCCTGGGCCTGGCGGAGGGCCGCCTGTGCTCGTTCTTGTTGTGCGATGAACTCCCGTACTTCTTGGAGCTCGCTGGCTTGTTCTGCAAGAGTGGTCTGGAGTGCCTGGAATTGAGCCCGAAAGAACTCCGCGAAGTCGGCGTATGGGCCTGGTGCCGTGCCCGAGGTGCTGGCTGACATTTCGGTGTCGTGTTGTCCGCGGGTCATTGTCGCTCTTCGTTCGGAGGAAGCTTTCTCAAATGTGAGAAACTGGCCCTATGGCGGAATGCAGATAGGCGTTTATTATGTTAATTGAGAAAGCTTGCAGAAAGAGAACTACTTGGGGTTGTGCCTTGCTCATGGCTCCTTATATCCTGATGTCCCTCCCCCCCCTGATGTGCGCGCTCAGGGGTCGGGCACCTCGAGCTCCACCTCCGAGCCGGGTCCGGGACAGCCCCGGCTCGCGAGTGCCTCGGGAGAGGGACAGCCCCGCCACGTCAACCCGAGGCCATCGGCCACGATCCAACACGACTGCTCATAGCCCTAGGCCTGAGCCCTTGACAGTCATCAATGTAGCTTCAACTCTCTTTTTATCGGCAACATCTCTCTATACCTGGTATACAAATAAGGCGGTCCTTATACAGTGCCAACCAGCATTTCCAGAAGCTGAGGAGTGGAAGGAGTTCTATACTTTTTGGTTCTTTCTTCTTGACTCGGCAACTGAAGAGATCTACGAGGAGCGTCTGAAGCAGTTTAAGAAGAAGTATGCCTCGAGAAACCTCTAGTAGGTTGGTTATATCAAAGAGACATAGCTTCTACCGTATAAGGAGAAGCTTGTCTCTACGTAGGTCGATCAACAGGCTCATTTTGGGAATACAGCTACCTCCCGCGTTAAAGGGATTCACGCGCTCCTTAAGTCGTACCTCCGGAGGTCGACCTTCGACCTCTTTGAAGCATGGAAGGCAATTCGGCTTACATTGATCAACCAGCTCTCTGAATTACGGTCTAACCAAGCCAAGCAACAGATCCGTATACCCCTCGAGTTCGATAAAGCTCTATATAGGGCTGTACAGGGCTGGGTCTCATACGAAGCACTACGGAAGGTTGAGGAGCAAAGGCAGCTACAGTGGAAAGACCCCCCTCCATCGCCTACTTGTACAGGCACCTTCACACGGGTCTATGGGCTCCCATGTGTACATGTACTAACTAGGCGCCAAGGCGAGCCTCTTCTTCTTGAAGACTTCCATTCGCACTGGCGCCTAATACGTGATGGCGCTCCACTTCAGCTTCTAGAGCCCCGTCGTATAGAGCCAAAAGCTACGACAAGTAGGCTCCCAGCGTCAAGTACGAAGCGGGAGCCAAGTGAATTCGAGGTCGTCGAGCCTATACGGGCTAAGCGGCCAAGCCAATGTACGGCTTGCGGGGAGGTTGGCCATATAAGGACCTCCCGGGCGTGCCCGAAACGGTATTCAGATGTTGTGCGGATTGATTGAATTGAGTGCTATTGATGGCTGTGGTGGTGGCATTCAGGGGTTCAGGGGCACAAGGTCGATGCCGCGTTTGATGCATTTTGTAGATTATATAAGCTATTTCAGGTTTACGTAAGCGCACGGACCCGTGCGCCTAGTGGGAGCCCCCCAGGACCCTAGGATTACCTAAGGTTGTCAAGTCTCAGCGCCATCAGCACAGCAGCAACGGCCTACACAACACAGCAGCTACGAATAACTACGGAGTACTTTGTACGTGTGCTCATTGAGGGGCGAAAGGTGTCTAGACCAGAATCTTTATGTTTTTAGACCAATCTATTATTTTATCAGGAGAGATCCCCGCAATGAAAGATTCTTTGCCTTCTCGACAACCATGAACATCAGCGATTAAGACTTTCAAACAACTGTAAAATGGATGGAACAAAACACCAACATTGACATGGGCTCCCTGGTCGAGGCTAGGTTCTCGTCGCCACGAATTTACCGTCAACACCTCGACATCGAATCCGCACCAAAGACTGCCCAACAACACTCGACAATGCGTTGGCGGTCAATAACGTTAACGTTAACCTCAGTTCGATCATGACTGTGTCGCTGACGGAGACTTTTGAAATCTGTGGCTGCTCCGATTTGTCATCAGCGGGACTTCTGGTGTGATCGAGGGGTGTTAGAGGGGCATTTGGCACTGGGCGTTGGAGTTTCCACAGTCGACAATGAAACATAAAACCAAAGGTCTTCCACCCCTCCATAATCACCAATTGACGTCACGTTCTCCAGCCCCGACACGAGCACAGTGATAGATAACACTACGCAAGATGACCAACTTCAACATCAAAATCGTCTCGGACGCGATATGCCCGTGGGTGAGTACACACGCAAGGAGAAGGAACCTACAATGAAAAAGCCCTTGCCTCTAATAACCCCATCACTGACACATCCGCACTCTACAGTGTTACGTCGGCAAGAAACGCCTCGAACGTGCCATTGCAACCTACCAGCAAACTGTCCCCAACGGCGCCGACGACACCTTTACCATCTCCTGGCATCCCTTCTACCTTGACCCGAGCCTGCCCCCCGGAGTCAGTGTCGACCGCGGCGAACACCTGGCGCGCAAGTTCAGCTTGGGCCCGGAACGCTTGGCTGCGTCCACCGCGCGGCTCAAGGCCCTTGGCGCGGAAGAGGGCATCGCCTTTTCGCTGCGCGGCCGTATCGGGAATACCCGCGACGCACACCGGCTAGTGCAGCTGGCCAAGACCAAGTCGGCGCAGGCGGAGGGCCGGGTGGTGGCGACGTTATTCAAAAGCCACTTTGAAGAGGACGCAGATATCACGTCGCGGGATGCCCTGGTAGCGGTGGGCGAGGCAGCTGGGCTGGAGAAGGGCGAGGTGGAAAGCTGGTTAGATGGGGGAAAGGGTGGTGAGGAGGTCGACCGCGAGGTCGAAGCGGCGTATGCCCAGGGCATAAATGGGGTGCCCAACTTCACGATTGATAGTCGGTACCAGGTCCAGGGCGCGCAGGACGTTGAGACATTTTTGGATGTGTTTGCGCGAGTGAAAAAGGCAGCGGGTCCAGGCAATCTTGGTGTGCAGTCGACGTCGGGCCTGTCCTGTTGAGAAGGGGTAGCCGAAGCTGTGGGTTGCGTGGGTGGGCAAGCATCATAACGTAGCAGTGGTGGTGCGCCCGGATACAACATGCCGAAGACATGCACTGTTATTTTTGGTGAGGAGACCAATTCATTGCCTACACATGTTAATCCCGAGCCGATTTAGGATATTTACTGTCAATGTGCATGTTGACTTCCTTTATCACACCGTGGGACGTTCGTGTAGACTCGGGATCAACGTCCAGGCATTTCGCAGCAAATCAAGCTTTCGAGTCTTTGCACTGCCTTTCGATAGGAAACAAATACCTACATGGTACAGCACGCCGGAGATGCTGGGTGTCCCGGCAGCTTAGTACACGTCAAGCACCATTCCTTACATAGGCAGTAGGAAGCATGAAGAAAGCCTTCGGGCTGCAGGCTACGGGCCGTGTGGCTCGGACGAGCTGCTGGACAGCCGTTGAACTCTTCACGGAAATTGATCGTTGACCGCGTTTGGAGGAAGAGGCGAAATTTTTGATGCCCACTAATAAGAGTCCGCCAAAAGTACCCAGGAATGCTCGTGGCTGTTTGGCCATGCCGCCATCTGGCTGGCTGCTGGGCACGGCCACTTCGCCAAGGAGGTTCCCGATTTGGAAATAAGAGGTACAAGAGACCTCGACGCCCCCCTTTTAGGCAATCCCTTCGGACGATCACGTCCACCACGAGAATCCTCCAGGGAACACGCCAGGGCCCGCGATTGGGTTCTCGTCGACAACAGTCGTCACCGTGCTGCGAAGGAGGGCTGATTGCTAGGCTATGCCGACATTCGCGATGACGGAAAGGGTTCGACAGGGCCGAGAGAGGAAAGAGTTTGGGGTGAGAAGACGAGTCAAATCCATGTTTGCAAAGGAAACCAACAATGCGAGGCTAGTCAGGTGAGATGGGAGCTCGAGGAGAAGTAGGATATAAAGGAGCGGTCTTGGACGGGATAGCAGACTGATATTGCTCATCCACATCATCTCATCAGCAGCCACCGGTCTCATCTCGCCTTGTTTACCTTGTAGCATCCGATATCATCACACCGTCCCAACACATACACACTCAAATACTCCTACCACCGGGCGGACTTAGAACGCCTCTCGCCATGGTCCTCTCCCAGCTCTTCGGCCAGCTCGCATTGGCCGCAACCGCCCTCGCCGTGCCCCTCGTCGGGCGAGAGGCCACTACCGCCAACTCGGCCGAGACCATCGCCTGGGGGCCATGCGACTTTGACACGGTTGGCAAGGGCCCCATCGAGTGTGCCGCGTTTCCCGTGCCCCTTGACTACACCGATGCAGGTAGCACCAAGAAGCTCATGCTCTCTCTAATCAAGAGCCCGGCACCCAACCCGACCAAGAGCAAGAAGAGCATCCTATTCAACTTTGGCGGTCCTGGCTACGAGGCGGTTCACACGCTCAACTCGCTGGCCGATCGGCTGCATACGTATGTACAACGCAAAGAGTGGTGTTTAGAAGAAGGTTCCTGACTAACGGGCACCACTTAGAACGACCGGCGGACAACATGATCTCATAGCCTTCGATCCTCGGTAAGACTCTTCGCGTTAAAACCTTATCACCTGTACATACCACCAAAAGACCATTCATAGCTGACAACACCAGCGGCCTCGGTAACACCATCCGCTTCTCCTGCTTCGACAACGCTACAGATCGCCAGGTGGCCACTCTCCAATTCCCCGTGTTGCCCACTACCGCCTATGAGACCGCCTTGGCCCAAACCTTTGCCGGCGCCGAGGTCTGGAGCAATCTCTGCTACGCCAAGAACAAGGACAACGAGAACGCCAAGTACCTGGGTACCGCGTTTGTGGCCCGCGATCTTATGAGCGTGGTTGATGCTCTCGGAGAGGATGGGCTGCTGCGATACTGGGGTGAGTTCGCAATTACATATGCTCCTCCTGAATCGTGTGGTGTTCCAAGATATTGACTCTGCGTTTTCAACCAGGTCTCTCCTACGGCTCCACTCTCGGCGCAACCGTAGCGGCCATGTTTCCCGACCGCATGGACCGTATCGTGCTCGACGGCGTCGTCAACTCACACAACTACTATCACCGTCTCGGCATCGACGTCGACCAACTGCTCTCTGCTGACGACGCTTTCCGCTCGATCCTAGACCAATGCCTCGCCGCCGGCCCAGAACGCTGCGCTCTGGCTTCGCTAAAGGGCAACACCACCGCTGCCGAACTTGAGGCCACGCTCCTGGCCACCATCGACCGCTACCACAAGAACCCCGTCGCCGCAGGCGCCACCGTGGTCGACGGCAACGTTGTCGGCCAGATCATGTTCATCACCATCAAGTACACCGGAGACGTGCCCAACGCGGCCGTGCACCTGCGCAACCTCGTCAACGGCGTCAACATCACCGAAGCGGCCGCATACAACACCGCGCTGAACGCCGGCATCGCCCAGGGCAACGATGACTCGTTTTTAGGTATTAAGTGCTCCGACACGTTCCCCCGCGCCGACACGTTGGAAGGGATCATGCCGGACGTCAACGCCATGCTCCACTCCAGCAAGCTGTTTGGGGCCCAGATCGCTTCCATCGCCGCGCAGTGTGCCTCCTGGCCGTGGGAGGCCAAGGAGCGCTACGAGGGCAACTTCAAGGGCATCAAGACCAAGAACCCCCTGCTGCTGTTTGGCAACACGTACGACCCTGTCACGCCGGTGGTCAACGCGAAGAACATGAGTGCTGGGTTTGAAGGGAGCGTGGTCGTCGAGCAGCACGGATATGGGGTAAGTCGACCTCCCGTTCTATTTAGGCCCTTGGTCCTTCCGCAGCCCAATTGGCGTTTTTTGACTAACACGCTTGATATAGCACGCTACCGTTTCCCAGCCGTCCAACTGCACCACCCAGATCATGCAGTCGTACTTTACTAAGGGCACCCTGCCTAAGCCCGGTACCTTGTGCGAAGTGAACACCTCGTTGTTCTAGACGACAGAAGAAAGACAGTCCTACACGAGTGAAGGAGGGAGGTGAGGGCTGGGTGGTGATGTTCGAATGACAGAGTATCCGATTTTATTTTGTAAATGGCGGTGTATTATTTAGAAGCATGTTACTAGACTTAGTATTTCATTATATATTTGATTTTTGACAAATTGGCTCCCTCGCTACTCTGTCATGCGATGAAATGATCTACCGCGCAGTACTACTCTGTCGGGCTTGGTTTAATAAGGCATAAATTGAGGGGGGCAATCGCGAAACAGATCGCAAGGTTCAATGCGCGTCACGTAAATTTATGAGGGTTGTCGAATAGCTGGGCTTCTTAACTCCACGGATTTTAAGCGTCTCGTGACTACGATATCATATTCTAGCCAGCGGAAGCTTGGATCTGCGGTATTCGTAGTTGGCACAAACGTTCCATCGGTTGATGAAGGTAGTTTGGGATACGACAAGCTTCGGTGACCCTCTCTTGGGACATAAAACTTTTCCCAAGAGCGGTAGCCTTTGGCCGCAACAGGCACAAGGCAGTTCCACCACACACCGCTTGCTCATGCAGTGGGCTAATTCATCGGCAACAGACAGGTCCAGATCTGCCGGTTGTTAGCCATAGGACCTTCGGGATGGCGAGTCAAGCAGGTTGAATCGTCACTCCTCCCATCTAAATTGGGAACCCGCGAGACACTCGACGAACCGTCCCACGCTAACAAGTGGAATAGCGACAGCCGTATCAGGTCATACAGACCGAAACCGCCCCATATTGAGGGTGAAATTCAGGTATACCCTGTTCCGGGACTCAACCCGACGGATATCTCGAGCCCGCGGGCATCCCCAGTAACCCTCCCAGGTCACGATCAATGGCCTTCAACCTCGCCTGCAGCTCCCTCTTTTTCCTCTCCAACGCCCGTGACTCCTCCTCTTCTCTTCTCAAATCCTCCTCCGTCATGCCGGCGTCCTCCACCACCTCGTCCTGAATGTCGTCTTCTTCCCCTGTTTGCTCACCCTCTTCGTCCAACGACCTCTCCAAATTCATCCGCTCCAACGCCTCCTGCTGCTCCGCTACTTTTCCCTCGTAATATGCCAGCGTCCCACTCTGTTGCGCATACTTTTGCCGCTGGGCTGGGATTCGCTCGAGCGCCCCTGGGAGGGGGTACACGACGCACAGCTTCTCGGCGCCGTGGAGGAGCACCTCGATGTCTACGTCACCGCCTCCGCTGCCGCTGCGACCCTCTCCGTTACCATCCCTGTGATCGCCGCGTCGTACAATCTGCGCGTGGAGGTCCCCGCCTAGGACGGCCGCAACAGCCGTGTTACGGCGGGCGGTGGGTCCCGCGCGTGTGGAGTTGGCCGGCGGGCCGGTCGTGACTTCACCGCCTGTGACGTTGAACACGGTTTGGCGGCGCGAGGATGCCTTTAGAGGTGGTTGCTGCTCCTCTTGGTTGTTCTGTTGCCGGGCTGCTGTTGTAGCAATGTTTGTCTGTGGAGGGGGTGGCGGGGCTGGGACAGAAAAGAGGGCGCGTTCGTGGGCTTCAGTATCACGGATGAGGGAGGTAATGTCGGGTCTGGAGAGGAGGGCGTTGGTAAATATTTTGGGGGGTGGAAAGCTACGGTGCCGGTGCTGTTAGTTGGAGGTGGGCGATTTGTCTGTTTACTTTTGAGAGGGGCAGAAGGGGTGAGCTTCAAGGCCGTGCTAGGCTTACGGAAGGCTGTCAATGCCTTGACAGGATACGGAGATTTGCTCCAGATGAGTAAAGAGGAGGGGCATGGTGGGCGATTTGATCAATGGGATTGGCAGGTTGTGGGTTGCCCTGTCCAGAAGTCGTGGGGTTTCCAGTCGTGGTGTTGAGGAGAAGAGGTCGGGGGGCTGCGCTGCTGCGATTACAGGTCTTGGCGCGTGTGCATGCTTTCCGAAGCCCCACAACCCGCGAGTCCACGTGACCTAAATTATCTCTGCCCACATCTGCTTTTCATCGAAAGACGACATTGCTGAGACTACTTGTCCATTCGAGCGAGCAAAAAGCTGCAGCATTTTCTCCTGCCCAACCCTCCTTCGGGCAGCACGCTGCTCCACTCCGTCCTTGACAGTCCACTCTAGAGCTCCAATCTCTTTGAATGCGGTGCGCTGTTGGCTCCTTGAATAGCAGCATCGGTCATCGACTCATCGGCTTGAGTCGAGTGCCGATCATTTTGGGCGTGTGCGCATTTGCGGAAACGCTCCACAAGGCACAGCAACCACAGCGTGGACATACATGTATCTATTATATTTTTGCGGCCGCGCCGATGCGGCAAAGACCCGGGAGTGGACGGACTAGACCGCTTTCCATCTAGCTCTTTACAGTCGGCAACCTTTTACGCAGGATTCATGTTCTCATTTTCCTGTCCGTGAACTGGGTGCTGTGTGCACCCGCCTCGGCCAGAAGCCCGTTCCGGGTTCGAAGACAGGAAGCCGTGTACCCCGAGACTTTCGGTGGCAACCGGGGACTTGATTCGCTCGCCGCCAGTATTCGCCGTGTGCTTCTCTGCTCCGTTGCGCAGAGATGGTTGTGCAGAGATTACTCGACGGACAACAACTCAACCACGAACACACGAGCAAAGGTCTGGTGTCAAGAAACACAGCACAGCAGAAACCCCGGCGCCGAGAAAAAAAGGTGGGGGGGTTTTGCGCCGACCGCCGGCTTCGTGCTGTGCAAAGTCTTGCTCTCAAATCGCTCTGACAGGCTACACCTCTCTTGATACACTCGCTTGTGTCTCTCCCCTGGGGGTGAACGCCAGGGGTTTGCTGGAGCATTGCTGCCCAAGCTGCCGCGACAGCTCCGACCCGCCAACGGAGGCCGGCCACTGAAGAAAGCTTTTGAGAGCGACCTCAACGAGAACCGCCAGCCGTCCTGCACCCCTGCACTGCCCCCGTCCGGTCCGTTGGTGTTGTTCGGGGTTGGAAAGCCCTGCACCAAGACACGAGGGAATTGCTGGCAAAACTATAAGATGGATCTTCGGCCCGGAGCAGAATTGAAATTCGCACAAGTAGTTGCGCAGAGCCAGTCCCGAACGACAGAATATTTTTTCCCCCGATAAGAACGGTCCTGGTTTCCAGGATCTAAACAAACCGCTAATCATCGCACTTTGAACAAAAGGCACGCAGCCTAAGCTACGGGGAGCTGAGCTCCGGCAGCCACCCGGGCACTCCTCAACCAAAAGGGTGGATTTTTGCTCTCAGGTCCTCTCCCAGCACTCTCTCACAACGGCCCCGTGGCCGCCACCCCCGCTCTTGCGACAACCCGTCCCAAGACCGCCCAGGGCCACGAAGCTGCCGGCACCCAAGCTGCCGTGCCTTTTGCGCGCCGACGACGGGCAGCGCAACGGCGCACATCTGAGCCGTGGCACCAGCCAGCCAGTTTGCGCAGCGTCGCTTGTCCACACGCAGGAAACCAGAAGCACCCACCCCCGCAGTCCCGACAGCTTGCTCGCTCTCCCGATCGTTCGCTTGCCTGCTCGACCTCAGGTACCTCCGCTCTGTCGTGCGCTGCTGCTCAGACAATCATAAAAAAAAAGAAAACTATCGGGAATCGGCCTGCGCTGCACGCCCACAACCTGCACTCAGACGCTGCACGAGACTATCATGACAACCAACCGTAGCCCCATATCTTCTCCTGGCTGGAGGTTTATTCTTTGGGTGCTGACGCCCTGATCCGCTGCGCCGTCTTCCACCATAACCGCTATTCTCCCGTTTTCTTCTTCTTCTTCTTTTTTTAGTTCCTCCTTTCTTTTTCTTCTTTGTCCCTCCAACCTCCCGTCATCCTACACTACCTATTGTCCCGTCTTCCCCGCCATTCCGCCTTTGTTCGTCTACCCCACATTTGCCGAGCAGGAGGGTCAATCGATAAGCTCCCGCGGCAGGGTCCCCAGCAAAACGACTGTGGCAACGCAACAATTGGAAATCGAAGCCCAAACCGAATTCGTCCGGGCTGCAGCACCAGCGGCAGAACATGTGGCCAGCAACGACGAATTCCAAAATATCACAGACCGTGGGGCCGTCATCACCACCCGAGACCCCCAGGACCGCCTCTCCCGTTTTCGGCCGCAAGAGCAGTCCCCGGCCTCGGGAACGACGGCCACCACCACCACCACCATCACAAGGAGCCCAACACCGTCGTCCAATGGCCCCGCCGCCGCTGTTAGTGCCGATCGGCCAAGCGGCGGTGAACGGCCTGATGAACATGGCCTTCTCCAACCACGCCGGGGCCATCCGCCCCGGCCAGCTCTCGCCGCGATCGAGTAGCTCGTCGTCCGTACCAGCGTCTGACTCCGAAGATTCGGATGATTCTGATGATTTCGCTGCCCTCTCTCCTCCCTCGCCGCCGACGGCGACCGAGGGCTTACGACCACCAACACCGGACCCACCTGCGCCCCGGCCGCCCGTCCGGGTCACCCGCATCGTCACGGAGACGGAGCTCGTCGTTGAGGAGATGAGCGACTTCGGCGAGAGTGACAGCGACCGGGCCAATGTCATCCGGCCATGCGCAATTGAGTATCCGGAGTCAGACCATAGCCGCTCGGGGTCGCGCACCCGGCCCGAAATTGACTCGAGAAACCTGTTCAACGGCCTCAGCCTCAACTGCAGTGACGACTCGGATCTGACCGACATGGACGAGCAGGAATTTCATGCCTGTTTAATGAAGCGCCGTGCGGAGCGGCGCCACAAACGTATGACGTCAGGAAGCATCGGCAAGCGCACCATCAGCGAGAGCATCGGCAGCGACACGGACCGTGAGGATATCCGCTCGCTGTTGGGCGTTGAAGAGGCCGGCTCCAGCGCACGCCGCCTCCGTCGGAGGGTGGGTGATCGTCGCAGCCTGCAGTTCTCTGATCCGCCGGCGCCGAGAATTGATGAGCTTGACGAGCCAGCCTCGAGCGACGACGAAATCATTATTGGGGAGTCGCTCGCCCGAGAGCTCCCCTACTATGAATATGTTAGCATGGAGGTTGATTCTCCGTAGCGGCCCCGTCGACCTACCTTTTCTTCCCATGTCGGCAGTCGATACAATGAGGGATCGGCCCAACCTCTCAAGTGTACCTCACCGATGTGGGCCACACACAACTATCGATTTCTACCTCTACTTACCAACCTGCATTTTCACTTCACTTCTCTTCTCGTTCTCCCCGATACCCATACCAACCACGATAACGATGATGATGACCAACGACGATAAACAATGCGACAACGCCACAATGGCAGTACAAAAAGCGGGTGCAATAAACAACGACGGTGACGACGACAACGACAACGATGGTGACGATCACAGCAATCTGCCTGGTGCATGCATATGTAGTATGAGGGTAACGAGAGAGCCGGCGGCATCTGGAGCGTGGTTTCTGTTTCTGTGTTCTGTTTCTGTTTATTCGGTGTAATGTACCTTCATAATGCCGACATTATCCTGTACTAGGATGGGGGAGACCCGGGCTGTGAATGGAATAAGAGGGGCTTCTAGGATACAAACTGGAATGGCGACGCAGCGAGGCTATTACCCGACCCCCACACCCATCAATGATTAGGAGGACGGTAGGTCCTCTCTGGCTAGTGAGTGTATGGAAGCAAAGGGACGTGATGCCGGGCAGGCATGGCAGGATACCTACAGCATGTGACGTACATATTACCTCCAGGCGCTGCATGATATTTTCAAGCCCAAAATGGTCGGATGGGCTGTTGCAGGCCACACTCGGTATCCGGAAGACGTGTTAGACAGCTATATTCGTATAGACCGCGCTTCTTCAAAATTTAGTGTATCACTCGGTGCCTGGAGATAATAGAGGTTGAGTTTGATTATGTGTTTCCGGCATCAACCATGATGATCCCAGTAGCATAGTGAAACGGCATTGTTCCGTCATGGGTGGCGCATATAATATCCATATGCTCCGGTGACTGGACCTTTTCCGGTAGTTAAATCAATCTATAAATTCGGCCGATGACGGGACTGACGACGGGATGTCCAATGCGCTCCGGGCGGGTTGGAATCTCGAGTTGCGGGCTTGGCGGGATAATCGGCTGGCCTAATCGCAAGATAGACATCATTGTGCGTCAATTCAGCGAAGGAAGGAAACTAATTTTCTGGATCTTGAACGGAAGGTAGACACCGAGCGAGGCTCCAGGGCGTATGCAAGGCTGACCAATCAGACAGTAGTGGGAAGTCTGCCCGCCCCAATATAAAAGGCCCGCCCCCTTGCAGCAATCGCGTCGAACTCCAACACCCACGCGCTCCTGCTAGGTAAGTATCAAGGCAGCATTTCGATTATAATAAGCCACTTGCCGCAACCTCCATCCACGTTGGACACGCCGAATTAAGTCTCCGGTTTCATTCTGAGAGCGAACTGTTGCGGTTCAATTGTTTCCCCCGGGTTGGCCACGACTGCCCGTGCGAACAACACACGCAGCCTCCGTGAAGGCATCGATCAGGCATCGGGCATCGAGCATCAAACGTCGAGCATCGAGTACCGAACATCGAGTGTCGAAATCAAATCCAGAATTGTCGAAATACCGAGACACCTCCTTGAACTTGACCCTGCCCCGCGCGATACCATTGTGATCCCTGCCCGGCCCTCGCTTCCAGCGCAACTGAGGTCATCCGGTAAACCCCAGTCAAAGTTCCATCATGAATCCAGCACCGGGCCCAGGAATGGCGGGCCGGCCAAATCCCCAGGTTCCCGGCGCCCAGAACCGACCACCGGGGCCCCCGTTGTATCGACCCGAGATGATGCGGAATATCACTCTGTTAGGCGAGGAGGAGAAGGTGAGATACGAGAAGGGCCTCACCAACCTTTGGAAAGTGCACGACACGGCGCCCCAGGGCTCTCCTCAACAGGAGGAGGCGAAGAAAAAGATTGCTGATTTTGGGAGGATGCTTCTGGCCAAGATTCAGCAACGCCGTGCCCAGGTGCAGAAAAATCAACAGACCCAACAAACTCCTCAGCAGCAGCAACACCAACAACAGCTCCAGCTCCAGCAACAACAATTGCAACTCCAGCAGCAGCAGCAGCAGCAACAACAACGACAGCCAGGTCCCCAGCAGCTCGGTCAAGGCCAAGGCGCACAGCAGGCACAGCCCGTTCCAACCGCTCAGGGAAGTGGCACTCCGGGAAACACGGGGACCTCCAACCCCCAACAGGCTGCTGCCGGTGCCCAAGGGGGCCAAGCGAGAGCCCTGCCTGCTCATATCATCAGCCATCTCAATGAAATCCAGTTCCAAGCACCACAAGATGTCGCGGACCCGCAGAAGTGGGTGGAGGAGATCAGGACAAGATATGCCGGGGCCATATACCGAATGGAAAATGCTCGCAATGCCATGAAGACCATCGACCAGACTCTCCAGCAAAACAAAATGCTGTCCGCAGAAGACCGACAGAAGTACGAAGAACGCAAGGCTACCATCAACAAACAATATGCGGAAGCCATTTCCTTTGCCAACCAGATGCGCAAGCAACACTCCGTTGGAGGCAACCAGCGGCCTGGCCAAAACGGCGCCGCGGGTCCCAACGCTGGCACGAACCAGGCTCGACCGCAGACCGCGGGAGGGCAAGGTGCGGCCCAGGCTGGCCCCGGGGCGAACAATGGAGTGGCGGTTGCAACCGCTGCGAACCCTATGCAAAACTCCACTGCTGCTGTGAATGCCGCTTTTGAAGCCGCCAAAAAGCAGCAACTGGTGGCCGGTCGCGCGTCAGCCGCGATGAACACTGTGCCTGCACAGCAACAGCAACCGCAACAGCAACAGCAACAGCAACAACAAGGCGGTACGGCCCCCCAGCACCCGCCACAAACTCCGGCGACACCAGCACAGGCACAACTATCCCCGGTCACCCAACCCCCCTCGGCACAACCTACCGTCTCTCAAGCACAACCACAACCGACTCAGCAGCCGCAGCAGATCCAGAACGCCCCAGTCAAAATGGAAGCCAACGCGCAGTCCGGACCCGCCCCTCTCAACACAGCTCTCGCGGCTGCGGCAGCAGGAAGTGGAATGCATTCAGCGGGGACTCCCACGCAGAACTCGGCGCGCCTACAAACCCCGCAGTCGGCGACGCCCACCGCTGCGAACACCAACGTTCGCCCTTTGACCCACGCGGCTGCCGTCAACCTCGCGTCGCAGCGGCCCGGCTCGATTTCTGCAGCCCCTTCGTCCGGACCTGGCAGCAACCCACCGGCTGGTCTCGGCCCAATTGGCGCGGCACAACAACAACAGCAGCAACAGCAACAGCAACAGCAGCACCAAGGTCATCCCCACGCGCACCCTCCACAGCCGCAGCAGCCAGCACAGAATCTACAAGCCAAACTCCCCATTCCCAAGGTCCTTCCCGACAAGGCCACCCAAATGCCGACTCCGGCACCCAGCATCGGTGGGATTGGCAGCGCGGGCCGCCCCACCTACAGTGCCGGCGGCGGCATCGGCGGAGGCGTCATGAACCAGCCTGCCCTCCCGAAGGCCCCGGCTTACCAGCTCGAGGGCGAAGGCGAGCGCATTCTCAACAAGAAGAAGCTCGACGAGCTCGTGCGCCAGGTTTGTGGCGGTACCGCCGAGGGCCAAGACGGCAACCTGCTAACTCCCGATATGGAAGAGGTAAGAAACGTTTATTTCCGCACCCGATCTTTACGTTTTTCGCTTTCTGTTTATTTTGCCTTGCACCTGTACATGCTAACTAGTGTCTCGCATAGTCTGTCCTCAACTTGGCCGACTCGTTCGTTGACAACGCCGTTGCCCAAGCCTGCCGGAACGCCAAGGAGCGCGGCTCCAAGGTCCTCGAAATTCGCGACATTCAGTTGGTACTGGAGCGCACCTACAACATTCGCATCCCCGGTTACTCTAGTGAGGAGCTGCGTACTGTCCGCAAGGTCCAGCCCAACAGCTCGTGGATCAAGAAGATGAGCGCTGTGCAGGCAGCCAAGGTTGTTCCTGGCAAGGGAGATCTTTGAGATAGCCCGGCTCGTTGCTTTCCATAGAGCAATCGTGCTTTTCGCTGTCTCTCTCCGTGTTCACATTCAATATTTGGTGGAATGCTTACTGGTGTTCGCTGTGGCTTTGTTTTTGCTGCCGTGTTCTCTTTTGACAGATTGATCCCTGGCGGGACAGATGATGGGGCAAATGACGTGGTTTTTTTGTCCTTTTTTTTTTCTACTCCAGACATGACTGTGAGGTGGTTTTCACTTTGTAGGGGGTAATACATGTGGCGTTCTAGGCTCATGGGGATGAATTTCTGAGGAAAGGGCAAAGTCAGACCTCGCTCAGGTCTTATATTGGTTGTTCGTTCAACCTCTCTCAGCTTGCTTGCGCCTGTGTTTGATTCTGGTGGCGTTTTAGGGGAAATAACACATGCTTTGCTCGCAGTTTTCTTTTAAAAAGTGAAGTACTGCTTCGTGCAGGTGATCATTACTGTCTTTCTTATCGGTAGTGCATCTGTTTAGGATTCATCGTCTTTTCCCACACGCTCGCTCGAGGAGACGGGTTTTCATTGTTATCGTCGAATCATCTTTTAAATACCTCCTCTCTCGGAGACCGACCGACTGACCCCCCGCTGCTGCTTTTAGGTGGACTCTGTAAGGGAGACGCTCACGGCACAACGATCGTATTTTTAGCCAGGGAAGACGGGGCTGAGTGACCTGCCGACTTGACCAGTGGGAAGGCGATTTGTAAAACGGGCAACCTCTGTGCGGGTGCTTATAACTCATGCTCAAAATCAATAACTAGTTGTCAGGTCCAAACTGAGTAAATGAAGGGCGGAAGAACAGAGGAAGGGTCGGATGTCGAGACTGATGAACCTGATTACATGTCCGTCCCAGCCGGATTCGGGCGTAGCCAAGGCGCAATCGCGGTGTAGAAACACCCAACAGGCAGCAAATCGACAACGTCACAAAGCAGCCAACCAGCCCAAGTGGGCCAGGCGCCGGTGGGGACAGCCGCAGCCGCCTGCCCTTGTCTCCCAAAGCGCAGTTCAGCGCAGCGCTTAAAGTACCATGGCCCGAGCTTCTACTTCTGTGGAACCGCAGCCCGCTGCAAAATAGGACCTGCAATGATGTACCGCTGCTTAGCTAGGTACTTTCACACCTCGACCAGCTTCCACGCTATGCAGCGCCTATGGCCTGTGTCACGTTTGGCGAATGCCTCCCGATTCCCAATCTCCGACTTGCCTCGAGCTTTTCGAACCTTCTACTCCTGCATCACAGACCCGAACCCAGCAACCCCTTCCATTCACACCGCGGCGTCGACGGCCTGTAGGACGTTGCACTTACGCTTTCGATACCTTTTTCTTTTTTTTCACCGTCCTCATCCCGCCCACCCGCTGTGGTTGAACCTGTTTGTGGACTGCCCGCATTTCGCACACCAACCCCCATCAATTCCGAGTGTCACTCCCATCTGACCAGGCGGCCCACAAGCAACGCCGCGCGCCTCGGGATCATCAGCTTCCTCTTCTCTCTACCCGCCGGACGTCGTCGAAGCAGCCGCCTCCCCGACACCAGCGGCCCCCGAACCCACCGCCACCCCTTTCGATACCCCGCCAGTCCAGTTTCCGACATGCCTGGCAAAACACCTGATAAGGAGCCTGTCGAGAACGGCGGCTACCGCGGGGGCAAAGACATCAAGCCAAATGGAAAAAAGGTGGCTAAGAAGGAAGGAGACGACGAGATGACCGTGGTGGTGCCGCCGTCGAAGGCAGCCACACAGGCGTCGGACCAACCTCCGAACGACGCGGAGGGCGATGTCACCATGGATGACGCGGAGAAGGCCGACGAGAGCGGCGAGGCTAAGGTTGACCCTGTTGTGCAGACCATCAGTGGTATGTTAGGTTATTTGAATAGTGTGATTAAACTTGCCGACTCTTATTGGAAGCGCTAACAACAGAACCAATGTGTGCAGACATCAAGAGCAACTTCGCACTTCTAGATCGTGCTGTGGCCCTTTTCGACGCCAGGTTCTCGCTCCGTGCCCTGCGGTCCATCTCCTCCATCCGGAAACGCTTGACCCCCGACATTCTCGCCCAGGCCATTTCAGAAACCTACCCCGCTACCTCAGCGAATATCGATGGCGCGAAGCAAATGCTGCGGGCCATCGGGCGACTGGATGTGGGGCTGGGTCGGTCATCTGGCTCGGAGATGGACGTAGACAGCGAGCCGAAGACTGCTCCTATCAAGAACGGCGCGAAGAAAGAAACCAAGGACGTGATTCCCGAGGTCGATGTTTTCCTTGGCATCCTGACCCAGGTGGTACTGCGTGATACCAAGCAGCTGCAGCAGGGCTTTGAGTTCTCCCAATCCCTGGTTGACCGGATCCGGGGTGCCAACCGCCGCACGCTTGATACCCTCGCTGCGAAAGTGTACTTCTACTACTCCTTGTTTGCCGAGCAGAGCGCGCCCCTCCCGCCGTCCCCGCAGTCGCCGATCGTGTCAATCCGCCCGACCCTGCTCGCCGCGCTCAGGACAGCCGTTCTGCGCAAGGACGTCGACACACAAGCCACGGTCATTGTGCTGCTGTTACGGAACTACCTCCTCACGTCGCATATCTCCCAAGCCGATCTTCTCGTCTCGCATACTCAGTTCCCCGAGAATGCCGCCAACAACCAGGTCGCCCGCTTCCTTTACTACCTGGGCCGCACCCGGGCCATTCAACTCCGGTACACCGAGGCCCACGAACATCTGACCGCCGCGACACGGAAGGCCCCCTCAAGTGCATCCGCTCTCGGTTTCAGCCAGACCGCAACCAAGCTGCTACTCGTAGTAGAGCTCCTCCTAGGTGACATCCCCGACCGGGCGACGTTCCGCCAATCGAGCATGGAGTCGGCATTGCGCCCTTACTTCCTGCTCGTTCAGGCAGTGCGAGTGGGAAACCTCGGGGACTTCGAAACGATCATTGCCGAACACGCTGAGACGTTCCGTCGCGACGGCACTTACACACTGATCCTGCGGTTGCGCCAAAACGTCATCAAGACGGGTATCCGGATGATGAGCCTAAGCTACAGCCGCATCTCTCTCCGCGACATCTGCATCCGCCTGCACCTCGGCTCAGAAGAGAGCGCCGAGTACATTGTCGCTAAGGCGATTCGCGACGGCGTAATCGAAGCGACGCTCGACCGCGAGCGTGGCTTCATGAAGAGCAAGGAGATTGGTGATGTGTATGCTACCCGGGAGCCGGGCGAGGCCTTCCATGACCGTATCCGCGCATGTCTAGCGTTGCATGACGAGAGTGTCAAGGTATGCTCCTTCTCATCCCAAGCTTTCTATTTGAGTTTCTTTTGTTTTGCCTTGCGACCTAGTGCTAACGATAACCCTTTTCCTCCTCTTTCTAGGCCATGCGATTTCCCATGAACCAGCATCGCCTCGAACTCAAGAATGCTCAGGAGGCCCGCGAGCGCGAACGGGAGATGGCTAAGGAGATCCAGGAAGGCGATTTGGACGAGGATGACCTCGGTGGCGACTTTGAGGGCATGTAATCTATCTTTCCAGTATCGCTATACTCTACATCGAGACAACCTCCCCACATCCGCAAACGGAGAGCATTTCGCTCCATTCACCCACCTCCAACTCCCCCAGTGCTGCCTTACTTTCGTTGTCCCCTGTTTCAGCTTCCGATAAGAGGGGATCCTGTGTGAACTTTTATCTCGTGAAGCGGACCCGAGTTGGGAAGCTAAGGCCGGCGCCGGTTGAGCAGCCAAAAAGAAAGTGGAAGAGGCCAGGGAGGTGTGTGAGGGGGCCGTCAGGGAGGCAACGGGTTCAGCGTTGGACCAGAAACGGAGTTGGACTCCTCAGCCCATGAAATATCAAAAGGGGAGAAACGAGCAGAGGAGAATCGAGATAAATGAGAGTATGTAGTAGTTGGTCGTGTATGCTTTTCTTGGTTTTTCATGTAAATGTGTATGGCGTATCAATCATATTGTAAGGGGGTCAAAAAATGTGATCTTGGTGTGCTAAGACGCCGTTGATATTTAGTCCCCCTAATGTGTTTAATGTGTTTTTGTCGTGATTATTTGGAGCTTGAGTTCCATCCATGTATTACACGTTGTCAATGTGCAAGGAATTAATCTTCTTGGCTTAACTGAACTAGTCGGTACCTAGATAAGGAAGCTACTTGATCTTTTGGTATCTCAGGCAGTGCGAACCGGCCCCTATGTTCTAGGATTCATGCCAGTGTACTTTAATACTCTACCCGTCATGGAACCGTCACAGTAGGGTCAATGGTAATTTGAATATCACCTGTTAAGCGGAGAGTGATAGTAGTGTTGCCTCCTCTGTCTCATTAGACCCTGGAGATATCACAGCGTTTTCGCCTTCTTTCTATCTCTGCCCTCAGTATTTCGGCCGCCCTTCTCTCTTCACCTCCTCATTGAGATCTCCTTAGTATCACTGTTCAACATTCACCAACGAGATGGTGGGCGGCAGACTGGCCGGGACCCCCACTGCAGCAGCTCTTCGGCACCAAGGCCACGCTCTCGAGCGCCTTCCGTCCCTCACCACCGTCCGGTAGTATATGTAGAAGGTCCACGGCCCTCCTGCCACCGAGGCCCCCAGAATACCCCCATCTGTAGCGTTCTTTTTGGCTTTCTCCCATTCTCCCATGAAGCACATTCCAATACAGGCGGTTCGCTACGGGCGGTGTTGTAATAATTCGTGTCTGCTACCATGTCTGGGACTAATCTTAAACCGTTGAAATCATCGGCTTGGGCGTCAACTATCTGGCAATGTTTCCCTCCTGAGCCTACTTTCTTTACCGTCGTGGTCAACCTTAGGCTCCGCTGTGTTCCGCTTCCTCTTCTTGCCCCTCCCATCGGCCCTCCAATGATCACCGTCACGGTCACGCCACGACTGGCCCCTTCCGCTCCCTCGATCACGCCTATCACCAACATACTCGCGCTCACCGTCTCCATATTCCCGCTCAACCTCCTCAACAGGGCTGAAATGTCGATCTGGGTCCGGGTACTGCACCTCGCGATCCCAGGCCGCTAGCCCAACAGCCGGACTTCGCAGCCATGTGCGCAGCTCGTGCAGAAACAGACGGGCGTGCTCAGGTCCCAGGAAATCGGCCAGCATGGCTTCAGCCTGGCCAGTACTACCCTGGAGGTCAACCGTTTTGAGGATGGCGACTATGTACTCGAGTAAGAACTCCGCGTTATGGCTGTGGCGTCGCGCTTGGGATGTGTTGTCGTCGGCAGTGTCAGAGAGGAACGGAAAGACTTGCAGCTCGCGGCGGATCCAGAGGCGGGCACGCGAGACGAGATGCGGGGTGGACGCGAACTGGACAGCGGTCGGGGCCGGGCGGTATTGGGAGATGCGGTTGGATCCTACGTCTGGAACGGGGCGAGGGGGGTCAGTTTCCATAGCTTTTACGAGGGAGGCGTTAAACTAGCCGGGGCACAAACGGAGAGAGTAGAGCTGATGTCTGTAGATGTGGCGTCGGCGCCGAACAGCTTCGTCCTCAGTTGGGGGAGGTCTTGGGTGTCTTGGACTGGCTTCCCGCAGAAAGCCGTTTCGACCTGCAAACCTTCTTCGCATCAAGGTCGAATTCGCCGCTTCCTCCGTAGCCCGAGACCCATCTCCATCCCCAACTGACTTATCGCGGGTTCGAGGTGCGTTAGGCACACGGTAGATGGCATCAGCTTTCTGGCCGTCCGTGTACCGGACCTTGTAGACGTTCGCTTTGCATAGCGGGCAGTTTGGGTGCTCCTGCAACCAACTAACGAGGCAGAGAAAGTCAAAATGGTCGTGACCACAGGGAAGGGCAGCGCAGGGCTCGGAGACGGACTCGAGGCACACGACGCAGCAGCGGGAGGTGGAGGAAGAGGAGCAGTCAGAATCCTTGGAATTTCCTGAAGCTGAACCCGTGCGGTCTTGTCGTGAGCTTTCTATCTCGTTAAGAGTCGTCTGGAGGACCTGTGTTTGAATGTCTTCGGGGCTACCGGAATCTACTCCTATGTCCATGGGCTCCCAGCGGCATGTGAGGGTCAATGATGGCGAGGGTCTCGTGAGTCTGGGCCGTCGAACTTCGACCTCAGGAAGATGAGGGAGGTTTAAGGTGGGGCAGCGTGCCTCGCCAAGAATTTTTGAACAGGGGTGCTCCTGCAGGCTGTGCCTGACGGTGCCAAGCATGATCTCTCTGCAGCAGATGTGGGGTCAATTCTCGCACGCGTCTCAACGCGTCTGTCCCAGACCGGGAGTACCCGGTGTACTGTACTTTGCAAAGAATACAGCACACAGGATAAGGTATCCAAAACATAGCAACGAACGGAATAGGGCACCGCCTTTGACGCCATCTACACCAAACAGACGATATTCGGCACATATCCAGGCAGCGACGCAGCCCCCCGTCAAAACGCACCCACGACCATGGATGACGAGGCGAGAGCGGCCTACGAGAGCCAATCCCTGACACTGCGAGCCGATTTGAAGCAGTGGGAGGGCGACTGGGCAAACGCGCACGCGGGAAAGAAGCCGGGCCGCGGCGATATCAAGCAGAATCCAGACATTGGTGCGTGCCCCTCTCTTTTCGTTTGCTGGTGGTGGTGGTGGTACCAATTCGTCGTCCCTGCGACGGCCACCACAGTCCCCGCAGTCATTTCGGAGAGAGCGACCCCCATGAGATGGTCGTGGCGATTGCGGCGACCGCGGTCATGATGGTTCTAGTCTCGGCTAACAGTTTCCCGACATCGCAGCCCGCAAGTACAAACAGTACAACAGGCTTCGGGACATACTCGCCTGCAGGATCCCGCCTCCGGCTACTTCAGATCCCGTCCGCGAGGACCACTCCCAACAACAGCAGCAGCAACAACGGCAATACCGCAAGCGCACCCAATCCGACGTCGCTCTTCCCCCTCCACAAACGCCCTCCAAGAAGGCCAGACCGGCTCGGACATCCCCGCGACCCCAGCCTCCCGAACACACCACCAACGCCATGGCAAACGACGACCCGGGCACACCTTCAACGACCCAGGCTGTCACCCCACTTGTCACGGCCCTGACTTCGATCAGCCCAACACCTCAAAAGGACGGCCGTGTCCTTGGTCTCTTCGACCTTCTCGGCCGCACTCCTTCACGCTCTGCCACAGACACCACAGCTGCCATCAATAGCCTCTCCGGCGTGGCAACACCTAGCAAGCAGCGCACCTTTGGTTCAATTCTTCCCGCAGATACAACAACATCATCAGTGACAGCGGCAACGCCCACCACCGCCCGCTTTGCCACAACCCCCCAATCCAAGCACACAAACTCTCAAACACTTTTCCCACCCACATCTACCACAGCCGCCACCCCTTCTCGAGGACATGACAAGGAGAACAAACTCTTCAAGACCCCGTCTAACAGTCGGGTCACCAAGTCTCGTGTGGGCAACACACCTACCAGCTCGACGCCTTCGTTTCTTCGCCGCCGTACGTTTGCGAGGTCGATCACTGCGCCGGTCAAGTCGGCAGGGCTCGCGCCCGTCGACGAGCATGATCATGTGGGTGATCAGGGCGCTGGAGGCGTGGGGGCGGAGGATGAGGCGTGGAAGGAGATGGGTCCTCTACGGCTACCGCGAAAACTGGGTGTTAGTATTGGTCGAAGCCTGAGCAGTGTCGTGGCTGGTCTGAGGAAGTTGGAGGACGAGGCTTTCGATGACGACGAGGAGGCCTTGAGGGAGATGGAGAGAGAGATGGACGGTGATGATGGATCTACCCCTGCGGCTGCCCCTGGTTCTGAGACTGGCGCAAAATCGGGCATGGGAATCGGAACGAAACAGGCGGCCAGTGGTGCGACAGGCGATGTGGAAGTAGAGGACGGCCAAATTGCAACTCATCCAGACCGCCAACCACCCGCCCAAGGTGTTGTCCGAGGACATCAACCAGCTGGCAGCGCCCACCCGGGTCTGCTCTCTGGCTTTGACGAGGACGCTCTCTTCGATAGCCCCGACGAAGAGGGTCGCAGCCTTCCCCAACCCCTCCGCCAATTCAAGAAACGTGGCCAAAAACGCACTACCCGCCTTGTCAAGATGCGCCCAACTCGCGCCCGGCGGCCCACCCAGCAGACCGAAAACCTGCCCGCCGTCAGTGACGAGGACGAGGGCGAGGACGTTGATGACAACCTGATTCCCGAAACGCAACTCAATCCCGCCACCGTCCCGTCCCACACCGCAGGCGGCGATGGCAACCTTCTCCTTTCCGACGATGACCTCAATCTCTCCGACTTTGATGCCGACTCCTCCGGGGACTCTGACTCCGGCACCGTGGTCCAGCCCAAGGGCAAAGCCAAGGCTGCCCAAGGGAAACTGACGAAGAACAAGATCACAGTCGTCGGAGGCGCAGCAGCGAGTAAGGAAGAAGAAGAAGGGGGTGTCATCAAACGCGCTGTGCGCAAGGTGAAGGCGACGGCACACGCCAATTTCAAGCGGCTCAAGTTGCGGAACACGGGATCCAAGGGTGGACCGGGTCACAACAGTCGCTTTCGGAGGAGGCGCTGAGGCGGGGTTGCTTAGTTTCTTGGAAGGTGGTGAGGAGAAAATATATATCCGGTTCCCCCATTTTTTTCGCATGCCGTTCTCGTCTCCTGTGCTTTTTTATATATGTTCGTCCCCTGTGCTTTCTTACATATTTTCGTCTTTTCTGCTTTTTTCTACATCCCTGTCTCCTGTGCTTCTTGATATATATCCATGTGTTCACTTTGCTTTCTTTTCCCTTTTGTTTTGGCCTCGATCGAGGTGGCGTAATGTTTTACGACGGTATATTTATACGTCATTTTCCTGTTCATTTTCCTTCTCATCTCCCATCCCTTTTTGTCCTCCTTGATTTTTCTAACTACGACTACATGTATTATGACGGTCAGGACCAGCACGAAGATATGATGGCATGACACACATGAGCTTGACATGAGGGTACTTGAGGCCGCCGGGGACAGGAGCCTTGGCTGGGGTTATATATTTTGTTACGGGTTATTTTTCGCGCAGACAGATTAGGAATTCCGTTCAGAGTATTTCGAGTAAGATAATATATATAATATGTATATATATATACTTGACGGTTTTGTGTTTCACATCAGCGACTTGAACCTTTCACCGCCGCCCGATATCTTTTTCTGAAGTCTTTCTTCCTATCGTCGACGACCTTGAGGGTTTCTGAGCCCAATTCACATAACTGATTGTCTTCACCGAGTCAAAGAGTGACACTTCCAATATATAACATATAGCCCCCCCCCCAAATCATGAACGCCAATTACTCAACCGACCCAGCGTTTCAAACGCCGAGATTAACCACTGCTTTTTTCCAGGTGAGGCGAGTTACGAGTAGTGAGGTGAACTAGCTAGGATCTGGAAAAATAAAGTAAAATAATAATAAAAATGGGGAAGACGAATGGAACGGCAGACCCGTGGGTGACCTTTAAGCCTAGACGACGACATAAATATTTTTCCCTGAAGAGCACTACCGGCATAGTTTAACCAACCAACATAGAAGACCCAACTAAAATTATCAAATAAACCAATCCTTTCCTTCTACATCCCCCCTCCCCACAGCTCTTATCTCACAAGGAGGAAATAAACAACCGTACGTAAGCTACCGAGCGACAACCCCCCCAGTAGTCATCGCTATTGGTGTCGTTGTTGCAGTCTCCGTTACCGTCTCGCGGATCGTTTCTCTCACGGTCTCCGTCTTTTTCTCTGTGATCGTCACACTGCGCGTGATAGTCACGAGTTCGACAGCGGGGCCGTCGCCGGGACCGGGCGCTGAATTCGAGTTGGGCCTAGCGTTGACGACAAAGCTGGAGTTACCAGAATTATCCGTCACGCCCTTTTCCACACCCGTTTCTGCCGTGGAGGTGGACGCTGCAACCAAGGCCGTTGTGGGAGAAAATATTAAGGAAGCACCATCCCCATCCGTAGCCGCGGCCGTATCGGCTCCCGTGGATGAAGCAGAGGTTGTCGCGAGGGCGGTTACTACAACGGTGGTGGTCATCTGCGTTGTCATCTTGACGGTCACCGTCGTGGGCGTCTCGGTAATGCGGATCGTGGTGGTGACAGTGTCGCTTGGCACGGGGTCAAGGGTGAATAGACTCTTGTTGGGATCTGCATTGGGGGGTTGTTTTGAAGAAGAGGCGGCCGAGAAGGAAGACACTGAGGTGGTGCCGGCGGTAACGGGGCCCTCGCTTGTTTCGGATGCTGTTGCTGCCGTTGTAACTGAGGCTGTGGTGGTGGAATCCAGGGAAGCAGTGATAAAAGTCAAGGGTTGATCAGAAGAAAAGAGAGGGGGGCGACGGGTGGTCGAGAATGAGGCGCTAGCGGTGTCACCCAAGTCGTAAGTGTAGGTAAACACTCCGGTTCCTAATGGGCCGCTGACGGTAACGGTGCGGGTAATGATGCCGTCCCCAGAGGAGCTAGGGGGTGGTGTGGTGGCGGTTTCTGCGCTGGATTTCGAGGTGACTGTTGAGCTCACTTCCGAGCCAGTGCTTGCACTGAAGGACGAGCCGGAAGTAGAGCCGGTGAAAGAGCTGGCCGTGAAGCCACCCGCTGATCCATTTCCTGTGGAGACAGCAGAAGAAACCGACGTAGGCTCCGCAGTGCAGGCTATGTCTGACGTCTGGACTGAGGCTGTGGCCGTCGGGTCGACTGTCACTGTGATCGTGCTGCTCGGGGTGGTGACAGTCACGACGACAGTCCGGGTCCTGCGTCCGGTCGCACTGGTACTATCAGGGGCGCCGGACGCCGTTGCGGAAGACGATCCGGTGGGGGGGAGGAGCGACGAGAGCGCTGATGTTAGCCCGGGCAGCCCAGATAGCAAGGCATCCGGGATAGAGCCGAGGACTTGCTTCGCCAGAGTAGCGTCCGTACAACCGAGAATCGCACCGGAAGTTGAGTTCATCGGCATGACGAGGCAGGCGTAGTTGGGTTCGCTACAGGGGGTGAGCGTCCAGGAGCCGTCGTTGGAACATTCGGCAAAGGCGCCGGAAACGCAGGCGACCTGGCCCTGGCGACAGGCGGACTGTTCGGTCAGCGTGGCAAGGAGCTTGTTGAAACTCCGGGCCTCTTGGATGTTTTTCTGGTACACATCAGGGGATACGGCCCCGGTCGACACCGGTGGATTCGCGATGACGGTCGGGATATCCGATAAGGGTCTACCGGTGACGCTAGGCCGGGTAGAGGAGACAAACAGGCTGGCCGACGCCGTGGTAGGCGAAATCGATGAGGAGACCGAGGTGTTGGGGGGGCCAGAAGTCAAAGATGCCAGGTCAGTGCCAGTGTTTGATGTGCCTGATTGGAAGGGAATCACTGAGGGTCGGCCGGTTGTTGTTCCTTTCAGGGGTATATTGAGAGTGCTGTGAAGCGAGGTTTCGAAGCCCGGCGAGTTGGTGGCCGATGTGGTCTCGGAGTCAGATGCTGACGAGCCGGTTGTCGTGGTGGAAGGGTGTGTATTCGTTGTTGAAATCGGGCTGGAGGACGACGAAGCCTCCGTTCCCGTAGAGTCCGCGACTCCCGAACCGACTACTATCGTTGAGGTAGCGAAAGTCGAGCTTTGCGTGTTCGATAGCCCAGCCGTCAAAGATGAGATCCCCGACGTCCCCGTCCGCCCCGACGACCCCGCCGTCTCCGCTTCGCAATCCGACTGGGTTTCGGTAGTGGTAGTGCTCACAGATCCGAAGCTTTCTTCCGCCTCCCGTGGTATCCGAGCGCCGTGCCTTGGGGCCCGGGGCGGTTGTGGCCGATTCCGAAGAGGACTGGCCTCGATCCCGGCAATCAAGGCGAGGGCGGGTAGTATTAGTGTTGTTATGCGCATTTTTGCGTGACGTGAGAATGGTTATGCTACAGTCGAGCGGCGAAGAAAAAGAAGAAGGACAATCTACAAGGAGTGGGACCGGCCCGAGCAGAGAAGAAGATAGGTGAAATAAGTATGTTGCTGGCCCAAGAGACGTCAAAGCAGGCTAGCTGCTTCTCAGGACTCAGAGAGACCTGTGCAGTGTTCGTTCGGGTGGCGGAGGATGACTTGTTATTTCCTTTGGCGTCTGAATGCTGGCGGACCCGCGCGTAGCACGACAAGACAAAGGGGCGGGTGGTGGTGTCCAAAGAACAAGAGCAACAGAATCAACAAAAGCCGAGCTGGAAGTGAAAGAAATAAGAGGTAGTCGACACTGAGTCGCAGCAGGGATCAGCGATGGGGAAAGAAGAAAACTGGAGCTGGGAAGGAAGAACAAGGCCGTTGTTAGAATTAAGAAAGAAAGAACGAGGGGCGAGGCAGCACAGCAAGTCTAGAACGGGAAGTGCGGGTGTAAGTGGCCCGGCCTCGATGACTGCATCCCGCATTTTGCCATCGTGGCGCCCTCGGTACAGGCAAGTTCGTACTTGAACCCGGAACAGCCCAGGGCCATCCATTTCCCCTACTTTGCACCTTGCCGTGGTCCCATATGAGCCACCCGCCGTCCCCTACCCTCCCTCCGCGTCAGGTGGCCGATATCCCCGCGGCAAGTTGAGGGGCCAGGGGTTAGCACTAGGGAGGAAGAGGGCAGGGGATGGATACTTCAGGCGAAGACGAGGAACAGCAGTCCCTCCGTTGCAACGTTGTCGGTTCCATGCGCGTGCTGTGTGCTGTGCGTCTCGCGCATGTCCTGCGGCCGCGATGGTCGCGTGGATCGACAGCCAATAGATGGACCCCGGCCAGGGCAGATCTGGAAAAGCCGCCTAGCTTCAGATATGCCAAACGGGGCGGGGTTCACCGTCAACTGGCCATCGGCGAATTTTGTGAATGTGGAAACAAACGGTCGGCGTGGACCAATTTCTGCAAGCGCCGCGCGATCAAACGAACCCCCAAAAAAGGTTGGGGAAGAAAGAGCGAGTGAAGTGTGAAAGAGCGGACATTTTTGGCGGCGTTTCCAGATCGCCGACAAAACAGGCGCCGGCGGCTCCCGATTGGTCAGAGCGGATGTCAGGGCAGCGGGACGTTGCAGGGCTGAGACCCCAGAGCCAATCGATCATGGGCCCCTTGAACCCCAGGGCAATGTCCCAAACGGGAAGGAAGCACGGGCCACTCTTAAGTCTGCCGATGGAAGCGGGCCGTCTTTGTTGTAACTCGTTGACAAACAAAAGAAAGGAAGAAGAAAAAAGAAGAAGATAAAGAAAGAGAGAGGAATAAAGAAGAAGAAGAAACTATTACCAGGATCAACTTTAAAGGCCTGCTTCATGTTGAGATTAGGCCTATCCTGTCGAGTTTCTGTCTGTAAGAGTTGGATAGTTGTTGGCGGTTAGGTAGTTGCGTGGAAGCTGTTTCGTGTGGCATTTGTGCCTAAGCTAAGCGGAAAGGAGCATGTCGTCCGAATTTAATTTTCACAGTGAACCTTCTCTGTGGTACTTTTGTGTGGCTTCTGCGCACACTCGCTCTGAGATACAAGACCCACCGCATATGACACGATGCCACGACAGTTTCTAGAGGGTCTTAATCCGTATTGTGATGTGCTGTGTGATTCTGTTGTTCTATAAGTCAGATGCAACGCACCTGGGTGTATATTCGTCTGTCGAGAAATGACACCTCTTCGGCGCTTGCTGGATCATCCAGCCTGTCCGTAACCTCCCTCTCCGTCATCATCCCAATCATCCGGCGTGGCCAACCGGACCACCGTCGGCGCACGTCCTTCTACCGCCACACTCCCACCGTCATCCTCCTCTCTTGCTGGCCTTGCCGCTTGCTGGAATGAATCCACGCCTAGACCCGGCCCCAGGTCCGGACTCGACGGCTCGCTAGGTAATTCCAGCCGCGCATTTTTGGCAGGCCGCACCTCTAGGTCGGGCCCCGCTTCAACCAGCGGTAAGGAAGGCCGCTTTCTTGAGGGGATGGTGCTGTCCTGGCCGGCGCTAGTTGTGGTGCTTGAGTCCGCTTCCGACATGGTGTTGTATTCCGCGTAGAGGTTCTTACTCGGGCCGTGGGGTGTGAATATGTCCGAATCCGAATCCGAGTTGTCGGTAGTCAGGTCCACAATTTCGGGGACGGTGGGGGGTTGAGTGTCACTCCGTGTTGTTACTATCGTTGATGTTGCTGGTTCCGGTTCGGGTGACTCGTCCGTATCACCCGTGAGGTCCATAAACTCACGGGGTAGGTCCGGGTGGTATGCGTACCCTATCCCATCTGTTGGTGTTGCTGGTGCTGCCGGCACTGCTGGGACAAAAGAAGAGGGAAAAGGGGTAGAGGAAACAACACTGACACTCCTCCCCGCAGTATCACGGTCCCAGTCACTCCCAGCCATACTACTCACGCTGGCCCTGTCCGATTCTCCTAGGCCCCCAGCCCATGCCTCGCGGAACTTGAGTCCCAGCGCTAAGGCCATCTGTCTCGCGACGCTGTTGCCCACCAGTTTCCACTGGTCCGCCAACGACCCTAGCAGCACCTCCTCGTCTGGGAACCCCTGTGCCCGGCGGCTCTCCAACACCGTCAGCGGCCGGTCATCGGACCAATGCAGGGCAGACCCCGCACGGGCGTCGGTGGGCTGGTTGCGCGTGGTTATCGTTTGGAACACGTCCGTCGGCCGCGCATGGCGCCAGGCTTTGGATATGGGCGCGACGCGGGGGCCGGTGTCGGGAAACATTGCGCGTTCGGCCGTGGTCATGACGCCTTTGCCTGCCGTTGTGCCTGCGCCTGTGCCTATGCCATTCCTGCTGTGGCCGTACCATGCCTTGGCAAACGACATGCCGTGCGGGTGCGTGGGGATGCTCGCGATCTGGTAACGCAACCGGCTAGTGACGCCGGCACCAACGCGGTGGTCCGGAAACGCTGGCACAGAGTCGGGCTTACCGTCACCGACAGCTGGGAGGTCCGCCGTCGCCGTGGCCGCACTGACATAGGAGAACGGTGTCGGGGCGAAGGAGCGGCGCACAAACGGCTCGCCATTGGATATCTCTCCTAAACCACGCCCCTTGACATCCGCGTAGTGGCTGTGCGACAGCGGTGGCGCGTCGGGCAGCCGTAGGCCGGGCGCAGCAAAGTACAGGAAAACGCGCGTTCGGCTCTGCGGCGCGCCGTGCGACCAGGCATCGCCCAACACGAGCTGGGCCTGGTAGCCTAGGCCGACGATGGCGCAGAACAGCTGCGAGAGCACGTCCTCGGCCCGGTTCTCGCGTGTCTGCACGATGGTCGCCACATTCTCCAGGATGCCGTATAGCGGTCGGTACAGGTCGACAAAGGACGCGAAGGATGCCACAAGAGACTGATTCTTCACCTGGGCCAGCGTCGTCTTGTCCTGCGTCAGAAGTGAGAACCCCGGGCATGGGCTGCCCGCGGAGATGAAGTCGACTTCGCCCGGCCGCGGCACGTTGCCGGCGTACTGGCCCTCGAGCGCGAGCCACAGCAGGTCATCGGCCGAGCCCAGGAACGGCTGGGTAGATGACCCCGGGCTATTCGCCATGTATGTATGGATCGCCCGGTTCCAGATGTCGTTGGCCCAGTGCATCTCAATCGCCCCGCCTTCTTCGAGCCCGCGGCCAAAGTTGCCGCTCCCGCAAAATAGATCCATGCCCCGGAGCTTACGAAACGTGGGGGGCGCTTGAGGATCGAACCCTTGGCGTAGGGAAGATGGAAAGTCCCCCTCGAACGGCACGCACCTGCTTGTTCCAGTTGTCGTCGCTGTTGTCGTTGTTACCGTAGTCTCTAGTCGGTGTGTAATGTAGAATAAGTTGCCCGTGCCCCCCCGATCATACGGCGTCGGGATCATTTCGCCCGCCCGGAAGAACCGGACCACACACTTGTCCACCACCTTGTTCGCCTTGGCTACAACCAGCTGATCGGTATACACCAACTCATTCGGCGGTGTCGTCCCAGATCGACTGCTATCCACCTGCGCTCTCCGTAATAGCCTCCGCAGCCGCACGAACATGTTATTACCCTGCTTAAAGATTTTAACTACCTCGTACGGTTCCGTGTGGGCTTGAAACAACGACGCTGAAGAAGTGACAGAAGAAAATGATGGTGATGATGACGATGATGATGATGATGACGATGACGACGGAACGGACAGCGTAGCCAACACGGTATCACCGGCCCGGAATCCAGGGTTCTCCTTTGCTGGTCGCGTGTGAGCACATGTCATGTGCGAATCCCGCAACGTTACCCACCGCCGCGTTTCGGTCATGTAGGTCTGGCGGACAAACAGCCGTTGTCCGCCACGCTCGTCGATCGCTTCCCCTCTCCTGTCTCTGACTCCTGCAACTCCCCCCGGCCCGGCGTGTTGGGCCGCCTCAGAGCGCCAATCGATTTCGTGTGTCCCGAGAATATCGTGCTCTTGAACCCGCGCGACCCGCCCGCCCTCACAGTTACAATGATCCGAGAGAAACAGCTCGTTGGGCCACAGGTACCGCATCATCCCGCACGGCGTCTCGGCTGGGCGGTATAACCAGATCACATTGAAGCTGCGCGACCCAGTACGAGGGTCCGCGTGGACTTGCTGGACGAGCCCGAACCACAGACCGTGGTCGGCCGCTCCTTTGGAAACCATGCTGCGCCACTTGGTCCCCGTCGTCTCTCCGTCACGCGGGGTCGAGATGGTGTCGCCCACCTTAATTCTGTCGATTGTCGCGAGAGGAAGAAAGCAAGCTTCGCTCTTGGGGCTTCTTCGGCTATACGGCAACCTTTCGAAACCGGTGGTTTGGCTTGCCGAATTCGAGGCCCCCTTGACGGCCAACCCTTCTGGTGTCAAAGCTGCGACCTTAGGCTGTACGGCCACCGGAAAGGGACCGCTTCTCTCGAGGACTTGAAATGTCTTCCCAATCACCATGTGCCCGAAGCAGTCATTCACGTACGGTGTGACAACAGTCGCAGGTACCTCCTCGACACCCCGTCTAATCATCGGAACCGATCTCGGAAGAGTAGGCTTGTACTGGCTCGAGTAGATGAGCTCCCTGAATCGCTGTAGCGACACGGCTTTCCCCCCACCTTCCGACACGCCGTTCATCTCTTTCCAGATAAAATCAATATTGGCAACGACCGACGTGCGGTAGTCGTCGCTAGGGTGCTGCGCCCGCCAAGACTGGAACTCGGGAGAGGCGCCATGCATTTGTACTAGCCATTGAACGAAGGTCCCTCGGAACGAACTGATCTCGACGCCTCGTCCCTGTTCCGTCATGGCGGTCGTGAAGTCGACCACGTGTTTCCCCAGGTCTGCGACCCACAGGAACGGGGTGTAGAACCGGGCGTACTCTGGGCTTGGCTTGTTGAGTCTGTAGTAGATCTCCTTGCCGGAGTTGTACCGCGACCGTACCCAGATCTGGTCCCGTGTCGAAGCGTGGGACTTACCGTAATTTCCAATCGGCAGCGCCGTAACCTCCACATGCTGCACGTAGTGCTTGGCTTCACCCGCGCGGAGCACACCATCAAAGAAAAGCTTGTCGTGGCCGGCTCTTGTAGTGAGGTGCTGCAGCGGTCGCATCTCCCATGGGTAATTCGCCGAGTTGATATAAAAACTGAACTCGTCGAGCTCAAACTCTGCATACTCCTGTTCTCGTGCCCCAATGGTCATAGCGTCGAGCAAGGAAGCAACGGCATGGCGTTCCTTAGTCCGTTGCAACGGTGGCGTGTACCCTAGGTATTGTGATTTGGGATGCACCAGGGCGAACATGGGGATATCGACAACCACATTCTGGCTCGGCCGGACTGCAAACTCGACCGAGAGGCTAGAGGCCATGTCATCGGAATCCCTGTGTCGTGCCTCCTCCACAAGATCTTGTCCCTGCTCCTGTTCCTGCTCCTCCTCCTGTACCTGCTCCTGTCCCAGCTCCTGTCCCGTGGCGGACCATATCCCTAGCAATGCGTTCATAGGGGCAACTAAGTCATAGGCAATAGGCGGGAGACCCCGTCGTGAGGATATGAAAAAAGAGTCGAGGCTCGACCCCAGCGGTGGATTGAGGGCCGTAGCGGTCAGAACGGGAAGACGGGGCTGGTATGTACAACCCGTCAACGGGGTCAAATATAGATGTAGACAGCAAAGATAAAGTCGTGTATCAAATCCTTGGTAACGCTAAGGGTAGAAATAGTAACGACGGTTAAGTAGAGCTGAGGTTGAATGGAACCGGAAAAAGTGAAAGCACAATAAGAAGCCAGGAGAGGAATGGAAACACAGAGTAAGAAAACAAATATTATTGATGAGAAAAGTAGAAGTTTCGAGCAGAAGAAAAACGGGTTCTGCCGCCCGGCTTGCACATTGCCAGGGATTGTTCTCTCGCACCTAAAAACAATAAAGTGAGGGAGAGAGCACAACAATGAGACTCCAAATCCAAAAACCCACACGAACGTGGTGGGTTCACGGCCCCGGTCCCGGCCCCGGCCCCCAGCTCTGATGATGGCCGACGGCCAGGGGGGGGAGAAGAATAAAGAAACCCGGGCCGCTTTGGGAAACTGGGAGGGAGGAAGCGCGTGCCAACCCGCCAGACATTGTGACGCGTTGCAACAGGGATAATGGTGGGGTGTGCCAAGAGATCTTGAACGAAAACAAAGAAATCTGACGACAGACAGGAAGGGGAGGAAAATGAATATAGATTAAAACCCTGACAAGAAGTCTTTTTTGTTAGAGGAAGCAATTGATATTTCTGGAGGGAGAGGTTGAAGTCGCCTATTGTGAGAAATATTCGAGCTTCGGTAGGTACTTCAGCAGTTAATATGTATGTACATTAATTTGTATCTATATTTTTATATCATTCATACATGAAGCACTTGATTATTGCTTCTTAACCTTTGTATTTTTCTTCCCCAACCCTTCTAAGTCATTGAGCTCCCCAAATCATACAGCATTCCAAGCTATCCCTCGTGAGAATATGACAGCTACCCCGTCCTCGCCTTCTCAATCGCATGCCCTAGTCTAGCCCAGTGCTGCATGATCACGAGATCTGTATCCAACTCAAACAGTGCCTTCTTGCCCTCTATTGCTCCGCCCCACGATGCTGTTCCAATGACGCCGCTGGGGCTTCCTTCATCCCCGTGTCTCATCGCCTGCTCCGCCTCTCTCATAGTGTCCTCATCAACCCAAAACCACGTACATCCTTGGCTCGCGCGCATGTCATCAAGCCGCCACCGCAGCCGCGTCATCTCGGCCGGGTCAACTAACTCGCGGCCAGCTTGCGCAAAGTAGGCGATCGTGCGAATTGTGTAGCGGTACTCGATGCCATGCGGCGACTTGGCGCCCTCGTGGATGGACTCCTGGCCCCATCCATCCAGAAGCCAATCCATCAAGCGCACCATTTCGGCGGCGTCGCCGCAGCAGGCGAGGGTCATCATGTAGAGATGGAGGGTTCGGCCGACGACGTTGTACCGGGGCATCCCAGAGGTGACTCCACTGTCGGCGGCAATCTTTTCGTGAGCCGTGCGCTTTTCCTTCTCGTCCCCGTCACTGTAATCCCCCCTTCCAAGCGGTCGGTCCCGGAGCTGGGCGGGAACGGGCACCGTCAGAGTTTGAAATGTCCTGGTCGCATGCGCGTGCCCCCGCAGAACCATCTTCTCAATCAATTCGGCGCCCACAGGCATAGTCGCGCGTAATGCTATGCTGCCGTCCTGTGTCTTGTCAAACGTCGTCATCTTGAGGACCTTACGGATCATGATGCACAGCAACTCAAAATTCACCGGGTCGACGCCCTTAGACGCGGTTGTGAGTTCGAAGATCTTCAGAAACGTCATCAGTGTCTCGAGTATTTTGAAGTCGGGCCCTGTGCGGCTAAACAGGAGCTTGCGGCCGCAGAGAGCCCGCATGATGGTGCGCCACGGTACTGAATCATGGTGGGCCGCCTTGCGGTTGTGATGTTGAAACTTGCTCGCTAGCATGATGGCTTCGCCAATATCTCCCGAATGCGGCCCCAGGAAGGACAGGCCCAGTGGTGATGCGATTCCTGGACCTTCCCGCCGTTTCCCGTCCGCGCTGGTGTTGTCGTTTGCATTCGGCGATTCCACCGCAGACCTGTGAATGGCCATGCTTTTCCCCGGCACTTCGTCATGGATACGACAGAGGAGGGAAATCCACGCATGGAAAATGTTAAGCGGGAGCTCAGATAGTGCCTTAAGGCCTGCCGGGTCAGCTGTTGATACCGGAGCTTTGAGGGACCCGATGAGGTGCTGATAGGGGCTATCATCCAAGTATCGTAGCGCGGCCTCCTTTGACGAGGCGTGGCGTATGAGAACGGTAAGGCAGTACCCCGTGGGTTTGATATTGTCCTGCGAGAGCATGCGGTCATACAAATCTTCGGGTGTTGGTGGCGTCAACCTGGCGATCTCGAATTCGCTGAGATTACCGTTGCGCACGGGAAAGGCCTCCTTGACGTCCCCCGGCCGATCCAACTCCGACGCAGGGCGGGCGTACAGCTTCTCGAACATTTGACCATAAATCTCGGCAGTGGGCCGGAGCCCCGGCGCCGGAGGATTTTCAAAGACGATCCACGCCTCTCTCGCATTCCTCGTCGCCGTCACCTGCACGGCCCACTCCGAGTATACGGTTCGACTAGCCAGGCGACCGGACCAGGCTGGGTGAAGCAGCGCGCGTGTTGGGATCGTGGGCGCGTGGCCGAGAGTGGAGCCACCCAAAATGCTCAAGGCGCGGTCGACCATGTCGTCGCCGTACCCGGATGCGCGAGCAAGGATGCCCGCCCTGGCGCTCCTCGTGAGATCGTCCTCGGGGTCACGTCGTTCATCTAACCCATCCAAGGGTCGCCGGTACGGCGGCCAGGTTTCGGCCGCTCGGCTTACATTCTTAGCTTCAACCCTTGTCTTTCTCAGAGTCACCAGTACCGTCCTGACGGCACGATACCCTTCCCGGGTGATCACGAGGGGCGGTTCCGTCGTCGCTGCAAGGCGCAATAAATGCCGTTGTGCGGCCCAATTGTGCTCCATCTGGTCGATGGGCCGAGTGCGGACTGGCCAGGAGAAGTACACAAGCGCCCTGTTCAAGATGAAGGACCGCGCCTGGAAGCCGGTAAACACCCGGCTTGTGTTGCTAAGTGGTATGGTATTAATGTAATCGGCCGTAAGACGCGCTAATAAAGGCATCGCCACCGGCCAACTTGACTGGAACTGGCGAACAAATCGGTAAAGGAACATCACGTAATGCCACCACGTCATGGAGCGGCCCGCGTCTCGGAAGGTCTGGTGCTGCAGCTCGTCCTGCGGCCGCTTCGCCAAAACGTAATTCTCCCTTGCAAAGTGCAGCAACCCTAGGAAACTCTCTGGCTCGCGGATGGTCTTGTCTTTGGCGAGCAGCACTTGAAGTAGGAACAGGGGCTTGCGGCATTCGCTGCTGAGAAATCTACGGATTTTCTCATCCCCTCCGGGGGCGGAGAGGATCCAGAGCCACTGCTTGATGTCGGCTTCGGTAGTCCCTGTCTGCTCCTCAATTTTAGCCAGTCGGGCCTTCCACTCCTCTGTGCTGCCTAGGTACCGTTCCATCTTCATTGTGCCACCAGACCGTCGAGCTAGGAGGACCTGCCGTCGGAGGAAGGCCTGGGCAGTCAACACGGGGAGTCGGGAGGTCCGGTTGCCGGCAATGGCTCGAGCAAGTCGCCATTGCTGTGGAGTCCATGGCACGCGTTGCCATCGGTGCAGCATCCCCAACACCTTAGACGGGGAGTAGGGTGGATAAGGATGTGAGTAGGGGCGATGCTTCCCAGGGTTCTCCAAGTCCCAGTCAGTCCCAAGGTGCTCCTCTGCCTGCACCACCCACAGCTCATCTTGTTGTTCCCGAGGTGATGTTTGGTGGAAGCCCTTCGGAAGCGCTTTGAGTTGTTCTGGGTCTGTCGGGATTTCAAGAAACGGAAATTTGTCCAGTTTGTGGGACACATGCGACGGAATCGGCTCAGGTTCCTGGTCCCATCGGACCTGGGTGTCAACCTGTGGATTTCCCCATTGACTACCCTCTTCTCCATCGAATACCACAAATGTGGCGGGACTTTCCGGCATGTGCTCTCGTGCTGTTTTGGCCGCTTCACCGGCCGCTTCGTGGGGCTTGTCGCACGCATCTTGGGCCACCAACGTGGCATTGGGATCCCTTGGGAAACTTCCCCCTCCAAGCTCCGTACCCCTTCCGCCGTTCCATCCTTTGTCCCCGGTGTCTAGCGGGCGGAGCCAGTTTGCGTCGTCGGTCGAGCTTCGATCGTCGAGTGATGAGTGTTCGGACTGTTCAGACTTCCGAGACTGCCGGAACCCAGGTGCTGCTGCATATTTACCAGCATTTCGGCCAGCTGACTGCCAGCGAGCACTGATTCTCGCGTGGTTGAGTCTCTAGAGAATGGGGTTGGTGAACGTGCTAATCAAAGGGAAGGAAAGGAGGGGCAACACACCGAATAAATGAGCGCTCTGGATCCCTCAGCCCATCGAAAGGCGGTGATTCGCGCGCTCAGCATTGAACTTCACAACCACTCATCGTAGCCGAGGCACCAGGCAGATGTTGCCGCGAAAGCATGAATGAGTGACTTGGTTCCTCCACGTTTCGGTGATTCGCGATGTAACAGGTTTGGGGTCACTGACTTTTCGCATTTCCGATTTGGACTGGGAAGAAACCTGCCCCACTATTGTTCCAATGGGGCTCAATGGGGTGGTCCTTCAATGGCCAAACAAATGGACAAAAAGACAAGAGCACGAATGGGAGGGATGGGCCCCTGGCCAACCCCGGCCTAAGCAGCTCATCCCTGTATCTCGAGATACATACTAGTACACTACTCTGAACGAATACGATAAGAGTTTCTTCATTCTATCATACTTTGGCATCGGGACATACTTCTGACACAGCAATGGTCGCTTTCATCGGTTCAATTCCATCGCCACCTGTATGCGACACGCTCTAAATACCTCACACACTGGCTTATAGCGCACACTACGAACACAACAGCGGACATGCCGGCCGCCCGTAAACGGAAACGCCACGCTGATGGTCCGGAGACGGCCTCTGCAACGACTCACGGCCCCTCCACTGGCGCAACGGGAGCCTCGCGCCGTGCGACACGGCAGAGCTCGGTGCCCCCAATTGATGTACCTCAAGATCCAGAGCCGCGAACCCGACGGCGGCGATGCGGTGACGCTCCCGACCAATCTGTTCCAGTTTCACAACAATCACAGCAAGCCTCTCAGTCACCTCGCGGAAAGGAGAACATGGCTCTGCACCCCGAACTACAGCCACATCTACAGCACCAGCAGCTGCCCCCAAAGTCAACAACGCGTCTGACCCGCCACAGCTTCCAAGCACCCGGTTTGGATGCCACGCTTCCGGCCCCCACCAACATGCTCGCTGCCGTTCCGGCCACGACGACGATGACGACGATGTTCAATGCGCAACAGCAACTGGCCGCAAGTCCGCGAGCGACGGCGTCAACGATCGGACCGAGAAAGGCAAACCGCGCCTTCACGAAGAATGACCGCTTCACTCCCCACCAGCAATCCGTCTTACTCGGGCGCAACAAGCCAATCATCATGACCACATCAGTCGCCCAGCCCGGACCGAGCTCCGCGTCGAAATCGAATAAGATCAAGCCCGATGGGACGTTAAGAGCCACCGCGGAGACGGCAGCCCGGCCGGACCGTAATATTGACAAGGTTGTGCTGGGAAACATCTGCTTCCGCGCGTGGTATCCGTCATACTATGGAAAGGAGGTGCTAGGTGACCTATCGGGAGGCAGCACAAAGGTGGAGAAGGGGACGAACAACAATGGGGTGCAGCAACAACTCCAACACCAAGATGCGAACGATGGCGTGAACGGAACGTTGCCGCATTCCCGCCGCGACCGTGACCATCACACACCCATGCTCGACCGGCTGTACGTCTGCCCGTCCTGCTTCAAATACTCCAAGGAGCTAGTGACGTGGTGGGAGCACGTCCGCTGGTGTGAGCGCCGGGGTTATCTGCCCGGAGATAAAATTTACACACATCCCCAGGGGAGGCGCACAACCCTGGTATCCTCCGGCCCGGGGCCGAAACACGGCAGGGGGAAGCGGACCAGCGCAGGACAGAAGATGGTTGAGAAGGTAGTGCAGGACGAGGGTGAATGGAGCATCCGCCAGGTGGATGGGGAGAAAGACGTGCTCTTCTGCCAGAATCTCTCACTCTTTGCCAAGCTATTTCTCGACAACAAGTCCGTCTTCTTCGATGTTACAGGATTTGACTACTTTCTTCTCGTTCATACGCCGTCAGCCGTCCCACCTTCTTCGTCCAATGCCGATTCTAGTACCTATCGTCCCATCGCCACACCCGAGCTGTCCTCCGTCCAGAACTCGGGCACCTCCAACCCCGGTCGCAGCCAAATCGTCGGGTTTTTCTCCAAAGAAAAAATGTCTTGGGATAACAACAATCTGGCGTGCATCCTCATCTTCCCGCCCTGGCAGCGCAAGGGCCTTGGTGCACTGCTCATGGGCATCTCATACGAAATCTCACGCCGCGAGGGCGTGTTAGGTGGACCAGAGAAGCCTATTTCAGACCTCGGAAAGAAAGGGTACAAGCGTTTCTGGGCAGGCGAGGTGTGCCGCTGGCTTCTAGGTCTCAACTGGTCGTCCTCAAATCCCTCGCTCTCTTCTCACGGTGTTGACACCAGTGGTGACGGCGTTGTCAACAATGAAATGCATGAAACGCAAGAGGGCGAGCAAGCAATAGATGAAACGAAGGAGATTGTGGTTGATGTCGAGGCGTGCAGTCAGGCGACGTGGATCGCCCCAGAAGACTGTCTGCTTGTGTTACGGGAAATGGCCCTCGCAGAGGACGCAGGAGTCGGTCTACCACCGCCTTCGACAAGGAAGCGACACTACTACCACCACCGTGCCCTCATAGGCGAAGATACTTCCCCCTCTCATACGGTTATCCCCGGAACAGATCCCGCGATCTCCAACTCTGCCACCTCTTTAACCTCAATACCACAACCGGGGGATCAACAACCAATGGTCCCGCGTGTTCGTATCTCCTTAGCCACGGTCAGAGCCTGGGTTAGCTCCAATAGGATCAGTTTGGAAAGGGTTTGTGACCCGGAGGGCTTTATTGAAGGGTACGCGACAAAGAAGACGGCGGGACTGGCAACCTCGGAGGAACCGAATTGATCCCCTTGTTTTGAGCTTTCTTGGATGCCGTGGGCTGGGCAGGGGTTCAGCGTGGATGGGTTCAGAAATCATGACGCTCGACTTGAGCTACAGTAGCCTGTATGAGGATACGCTGGGGGCGTAAACATTTGGGAAACGCCAAACTGAGTCTGGGTTATCGCTCTGATTGAATTATCATATACCCCAACGAGTGGTCCTACAAACCCGAGAGTGGTGTATTGGACTACTCGCTAGCATTTTCTCGTTTCATCTCAGCTTGATATGAATAAAATGGGCGGGGCAAATAGCCTTCAAGTACCCGGTCTGAGTTTACGCGAGTTGCTAAACCACCTGCGACAGTCCCGACAAAAGAAACGTAGCAGAATGAGTGTAAACACTAAGAATTGGGAAGTTCTGACAACAATATAAGTCCCAGCATAGCTAGCACTGAAATATCTCTGAAGCTCCCTTCAATTAACGGAAGACGGGAGTTGGGTTGATTTTCAAGTTCCTTTCTAGGAGCTCTGTACGAATAGCTCGAGTGACTTGGTTACTTCCTCCTCCCTAAGGTTGTTGACGCAAAGTAACACTCCAAAGGCCCGCAAAACGGGTCTTGGAATCGGCCACCTTCAGCGGCGTGGAAACCAACCATGGAGCAGTCTGATGAGACCCGGAGCTCATTGAACTACATAGTAAAGCTAGGTGATAAAAATTGTGGAACCCCCTCCCAAGAGCGAACCTTTTACATAGTACGGAGTACCTTAGGGGTTGATGAACTGCGAATAATCACGCAGTGGCTACTTTCGCCGTGAACAATTCCCGAACCTGTTGAGCCGCGAAACCCGAGAAACTTCCTCTCAACAAGAGATCTCGGCGGCAGGTAATATTACCAACCAATCATGCGGCTATCCGGGTAACCCGATCCGCCCACAACATCCGGCAAAGCAGACGTTGTGTAACATTCGCAAACACGGTTTCGGGTCGTGGAGGCTGATTGGTTGTAACGCCGGAGAAGCAACTGACCCGCCAACTTGGGAAACCAAAAAAAGAATTGAAATGCCTGGGACATAACTTATGGGTTGGCTTCAAAATTTGGTAACATTGAGTGGTATTTAGAGATTGATTTTTGAGCTGTGAACAAGATAATATTTTCCCTCTCACTGATGGCAATAAGCTTGACAGAGAGGCATTTTTCGTACTCATGCTGCCGTCATCCTTTCAGCCCCTGGTGCCGTGTGGATTCTCTGTGGACCCTGTGCCGCGGTGTTGACGACTGGGAATCGCCCAACTCGCCACGGAGTGGGGGCCTCGTGGGGGCTCGTCAGGGACCCGGAGGAGCCTCAACTGCGTGAGACATCTGAAAATTTTCGCCGACCCCATCCCAACCAAAGCTGTCCATTCCATCTTCCCGAGTTGATACCAAAGCTCCGACAGCTTCTCGTGCACGAGACGGACTCGTGGATGGTTTCCACACTTGTCGGATACCCACCAACTCTAACAAATGCGAATGTGATAGCCCTAACCGTTTCGTTGTTTCGTGAGCCTGGTCAAGGCGGGGAGGGGAGCAAACTGAGCAGCCAAACGGCCCAGCATTTGATCGGCCACGGTCTTGGGCGCCGCGTCCGAGATTGCCCGACCATTTCCCAAAGTGCCGCACCAAAAATTTTTCCTTTCTTTCTCGCAGTCGTCCCAACCTACCCAGAGTCCTGACCCACTGCGAGCTCCAAGGTGGAGAGTTTCCTGCCAGCAGACAATTGAATTGGCCACTCAGGTCGCTTGTTTCGCTGCTCAAGCCCGTTGCCCGGACCAGCCCGAGGTCCGCTTCCCCAGCTGACCACCTGTTCTTCATTTTCGCTCCTCTTTCCTCCTCTTTTTCCCTCTCCTCCAGCAGTCAAGCCATCCCCCTCCACCCCAATACTCTAGAGTATCGTCTCGACCGCCTGACCCATCCCTTTGCATTTCTGCAATACGCTTCCCATCGATCACAATGGCCTCCACCCGCGTGCTCGCCTCGAGATTGGCGTCTCAGATGGCCACCAAGGCTGCTCGCCCGGCCGCCCGCGTCACTCTTGCCAACACCAGCAAACGGACCATCTCCGGTGAGTTGAACAAGCCCGCTGCTGCCACAGCTGCGATCATCTTGCCATCATGACCGGGGCCAGCGATTTAACGGGTTGTTTTGCGCCATTTTGCAGTCGCCAGCAAGTCGTCGCCCCTCCAGGCCGTCAAGCGCCAGCAGATGTCCTCCATCATCAACGCCACTACCCGCCAGGCCTTCACCGTCCAGCGCCGTGCGTACTCTTCTGAGATCGCTCAGGCCATGGTCGAGGTGTCCAAGAACCTGGGTATGGGTGCTGCCGCGATCGGTCTGACTGGTGCCGGTATCGGTATCGGTCTCGTTTTCGCCGCCCTCCTTAACGGTGTCGCCCGCAACCCCGCCCTCCGTGGCCAGCTTTTCTCGTACGCCATTCTGGGTTTCGCTTTCGTCGAGGCCATCGGTCTTTTCGACCTGATGGTTGCCCTCATGGCCAAGTTCGTAAGTATTCACCATCAAGCGATTTCCGAGCAAATGTAGCATAACCAGGCTCCTAACCATACTCTAGACCTAAACGCCACATATCGCGTTCGAACGGGATCGGCGTCGACGCCGCGTTGGGAGCAGTTGGTCGTCTGGGCTTGACGGGGACGAGGGGATCAAATGGAAACGCAATGTACGAGAAGTCCATTATCTTCCGCGACATCGCATCGCGTGGACTCATGGGACGGGTGGAAACGTACATGGGATAATGGCGGAGGAATCGCATCACCATAGAAGGGGCCATATAGACCTAGATCGGGGGAGAACTTCCAGGGCGATCCGACCGTCTGGTTGCCGGCACTGCCGGAAACGTTGTACATTACCCAAGGCGATTCTTCTTCTCCAGCTTTATGGAGAGAACACCATCACAAAATTTCAATCTTGTCTCTCAATTAGGCACACATGCATTGTGGCTTTGGTCGGAACGGTTGAGGTGAGAGAGCGGGGCCTACCACCGACCTGGTCACTTGACCGTCTGGTGTGCTTCACTGATGGCACATCACCCTTCGTGAATGTGCTGAAGAAAGCTCGAGGAATACAGCGGCGGTATTGAATTGAAGGGATGAATTGAACGACTTGGTTGATCAAGGAAATCTGGACATCAACCTACCAACAAACCTTCTCGACGTACGGATATTCGAGAGCCGTGCCGGAAGCTCCACCCATCATCACACGCGAGCATGGAAGTGGAATTGTGGCCGACGACCGTTTGCTCCACAGCGTGTCCACTTGAACCGTTGCAAGCGAGCGTCTCCCCGTCAAGAACGGGCCGTTCTAAGCACTGATGGTAGTGATATTTGGCGCTGAGCTGCTAGCGTTGTCAGTTTGAATTCCGCTGTTGCAGAGGTAGGTGGATTTGGCAGGAATGCGACACGACCGAAAAAAAATAAAGGTGAAGAGGGGACGGGAGGAGAACAGAGACGGCCTGGGGTCAAGAATTGCCAGGGGCCGTCCTCTTATTTGTTGCAACCAGGTGTGCCCTACCCCCCGGGTTTTCTCTTCCAGCAACTGGTTTTGGGTCGCTCTTTCCCGTGCCGCTACTTTCCCCTTTAGTGCTTTCCCCTCACGGCTTCATGCAATGAGAAGGAGATGTGGTTGCTGTGTCAGGTGATCGCCCTTGAGAAGGTATTGTCGCTGCGCCAAAACGCGGGGAAGATACCTTGGATCGCGTGTCCTTCCCCAGACCGATCCCCAGACTGCATCCTGCATTCTTCAGCCGCCCCCCGCATTTCAACGCTCCATTTGGAAGGGTGCAGGCACAAGGGGGTGTTTCGGCGCCGCCGTGTGCTCGATTACCTCGACAGGAACCGCACTACTGGACCATGGCTGGGACCTCATTTCCCAGGCCCTGTGACTAGGTGCTGGAATCTCTGTTGGTCGATCCGCCATCGCCAAGAAGTTGTCAAAAGTTCACCGACTGTGCTGCTAGGCCCGCAAAGGGGAGCCCAGCGCTTCTACCTACCTACGTACACTCAAGTACATGTGGATAAGACATGATTGTATTGACCCCGACTCAAGGATGTGGTGATACACAAGATGCTCGTTTGGCTGGCCCGGAAGGCAGATACTTTACCTTAACAGACTTCGCTGTTGGTCGCAAGACGAATCGTGTGCTCACGCCCAAGCAGACCCACCAAGGAAAGGACTTGCATGATTGATTTTGATTGCATCATTCATTGTCGCAAATCTATCATCTATACTTCGTATTGTCTGCGTCTTCCACCGTTCCTCACTCTTGCCGCCAAAGAATTCGTCTTGCGTCTTGAGTTTTGGTGTGTTACGACCTGGTCAACAGGTTCGAACCCGTCATCTCCTCTGGCACGGGTAGCCCCATGGCAGTAAGGACAGTGGGGGCCACGTCACCCAGAACGCCACCCTCCTTCTTTAAGCTCCAACCCTCTGGGGCGTTCGCCATGATGAAGGGGACCTTGTTCGTGGTATGCGACGTCTTGGGCTTACCGTCGGAAAACTTCATCTCCTCGGCGTTGCCGTGGTCGGCGGTGATAAAGAGAATGTAGCCATCTTTCTTGCAGCCCTCGTAGATCTTGCCAATGGCTTTGTCGGTGGCTGTGCAGCCCACAATGGCAGCTTCGTACACGCCGGTATGACCAACCATGTCCGGGGGGGCGAAGTTGTTCATGACGAAGGGGAATTTTTGTTCCGACAAACGCTTGCAAACTTGGTCGGCAACACCGTCGGCACTCATCTCAGGGGCCTTATCGTAGGTCGCCACGCTCTTGTTCGAGGGCACCAAGTCCTGCGACTCATCACGCGTTTCGAGAGGGAAGACCTTCTCCACGCCGCCGTTGAAGAAGAAGGTGACGTGGGCGTATTTCTCGGTCTCAGCAACGTGGACCTGCTCGACGTTCTGCTTACCAAGCCACTCAGCGAGCACGTTGCCCATGTGCTGGGGTTTGAAGGCAATCTCAAACGGGTAGTCAAGCTTGTACTGGGTCATGGTCACCAGGTTGATCTTAGGGTAGGGGAAATCGGGCCTCGGAGAGCGGTCGACATCGCCTAAGAGCTGGGTGATTTGCCGAACACGGTCAGAACGGTAGTTGAAGAAAAAGACGTTGTCACCGTCTACCAAAGAAAGTCAGCATCCGTGAGTTCAAAGCGGTGATGAATGAAACACCCTACCTTTGATACGGCCCTCGTCGCCACCGACGATGATGGGCTTAAGAAACTCGTCCGTTTCCCCGTTCTTGTAGCGCTCTTTGACGGTCTTGACCGGGTCGTCGCTCTTCTCGCCTTCGCCGAGGATCAAGCCCTTAAGAGCAATCTCGTTTCGCTCCCACCTCTTGTCGCGGTCCATGGCGTAGTACCGGCCGACGACGGTGGCGATCTGACCAATGCCAATTTCCTGGATTGTAGACTGCAGCTCCTCCATGTATGCAGCACCGGACTTCGGGTCCGTATCGCGACCATCGCCGAAGAAGTGAATGAAGACCTTGGGTACGCCGGCCGCCTTGGCAGCGCGGAGGAGCGCGTACAAGTGCGTTTGTTTTGCGTGCTGTCAAGAGTCGACCAGATTAGTGCCTGACCGCGAACCGAACCCATGAGGCACCATGTACTCACCACGCCACCGTGGGAAACGAGGCCACAGAGGTGTAGGCGCCCGTTCCCACTCTTGGATGCCTCCAAGACCTTCTTGATAACCTCATTTTGGCCCAGCTCGCCCTTCTTGACGGTTTGGTCAATGCGGACGACGTCCTGCCACACGACACGGCCGGCGCCAATGTTGAGATGGCCGACTTCGGAGTTCCCCATCAGGCCCTCGGGGAGACCAACGGCAAGCGACGAAGCCTCGAGCTCGGTAAAACCGGTGGTGCTTTTAGAGAACGCATCCATGACGGGCGTCTCAGCGGCGGCAATAGCATCGCCATTCTTGGGCGATTCATCCGTGGGAATACCCCAGCCGTCAATCACGACTAGACGACCGCAACAGCATCATGATCAGCCACCCCACTTCGAGGTATATCAGGATGTAACAGGCGACGAGCGGATAGTCGGGACGACGGGACGTACTCAGGCAGGCCTTGTGATCGGGAGCCATATTGCGTAGTGGCACGGAAGTGATCTTTCGTGGGTTCGACAGACGATGTGTGGGAACAATGAAGTTCTACCTTTTTAGAATCGGTGTTGTGGGTCGAGGGGAACTTGAATTGGGGAGCCGGAAAAGCATTTAGAGACGAAGGGACGGGAGGGGTGGAACTTGTAGTTACTACTATTAAAACTATGCCGCGCAATTTGTCTCATACATACCCCTAACCCTTGGTGCGGATGCAAGCTGCCTTGGTCAACTCGTAAAATCACTCAACCACCATGATCAAGTTGATTAAGTTTCCCAGGGGGTTCTAATCGGCGTTGATAACACGAGGGGGGCGTCGGGAAAGTGATTGGGTCATCCCAAACTGCCCGATGCATGGAGCTCTGTCACAGATCTCATGCATCCGACGCGGGGGTAACCATCAACGAACGTGGCAACCTGGCCCTGAATGGTGCTTGACGGAGTCCAGGGACTTCGAAAGTTAGATAAACTCAATCTGAAGTTTCAACAGAAAATCTCCCTGTGGAACTTGTAGAGAAAACGTAGCCGGATCATCTAAACGCATAGACGAAATTCATCCTGCATTGTGTACTTCCGTCGTTAAGAAGGTTCACATGGCGGGGTACCTCCGTAGCCCACTCCTAACCCACTGCGGGCAGCAACAAAGCTGCTGTGGAGACCCCCATCCCCCCAAAACCGCCTAGCGCATTTGTCCCCCATGCTGCTTGAGACGACAAACTTCCCAATCCCAACTCAAGTTCACACTTCCTCGATCTTAACGGTACAAATAGGCCGTTTCATCGGCGTGGTGTTTTGGAACCCCAAAGCTATCAAAAACCATTATTCAAGAGCAGGCCACCGTATTTGACTCGAGAATCAGCAAAAACGAAGGGGAGAAAGACAACAACCCGAACCTTGGGAAGGCACCTTTAGGTGACCTTTTCCTCGCCCACAATGGCGCTGCACATTTCGCCTGATACCGTCGACGTGGTGACCGAGCTCTCCTCCATTATCACCGGATTACGCGGCATAACTTCTCTGCAACAATCTTCATCTCCTCACGGCCCTGGCGGCGGCAATACCGCTGCAGGCCCCTCGGCACAGCAGGGCGGGACCGGGGTCACTCCTCTCCCTACCACTGCGCCAACTCCTTCCAATCCTAGCAACAACCACGATAACCCAAGCCAATTACCCCAACAGCAGCACCAACCGCAACTCTCCATTAAGGACCTCCCCATAGCCACGGACAACCTTAAGCACAAGCTCCAGCGGGCGCGGGCGGCTGTGCGGGCGGTAGGCGATGTAAGTGGAGCCATCGCGCGGCAGGAGGCCGAAGTAAAGCGGTTAGAGGCGAGACGGGCGGCACAAGCACGGATGCTGGCGCGGACACAGGAGGATGGCCTGACGTTTGTGCGCCGCGGGGCTGGTGACGGAGAAGGGCCGGGAAAAGCTGCGGATGGAGGCGGTAATGGAGTGGACAAGATGGTTGAGTGAAACTGCGAGGTGGAGAGGGCGCGTGGGGGAGCGAACGAAGTCCAGGCGATACCTTTAAGTAATCGGCGTTGCTTGGTTGGGTTCTATGTTATGGGATATCATTTTGCTGGCGTCCGGACCAACAGTTCTTCAACCAGGTCCAATTCGCGAGTATACCACCATTTGGGTTCATTCTGATAGGGATGTAGGGTAGCCAGTCAGCGATTGTTTATTGACTGGCTTCTAGCATGGAATTACACGTTCTTACGCGGCTCTTGTTGTTGCCGCCTAGGAGAAAATACAGTTGAAATCATCGATTGACTTGATTCAGCGCCCTTAACTCCTAAACTGAGTACAACCTGACGCCACGGCTCAGTGTCTCCGACGGGTATTAACCTCCCCAGCTATTCCACCCTGTGATTCCTGAATAACGAATGGCCGGGGTTCTAAGCCTGCCACGCTATATCAGGCCTTCTTATTGTTGACCCCTAGGGTCTGCAGAGTGTCGTCAATGAGGGTACCGGGCTCACCAGCCAAGGCCTTCTTCCACACTTGGTCCGTAATTACTTCTGAGTCAGGCAGCAGGCTCCAATTAGGTGAGCTAAATGTTTTGAGCCACTTGAAGTCGTCAACCTGGTCGTACAAGTTGGCCTCGGTCCTCTCTTTGTCCGTCAACTATGTACCCATGTAGCACGTTAGCAGATCGTATGGTGGCCGCGGCATGCAGGGTAATACTAGGAAAAGGCATCGGAAGGGGGGTAAGAGGGGTGATAGGCAGATGAAGACGGGTGAGAGAACAGACAGGCAACTGAGGGAATAGAGATGACTCACGTAAATTTCGGGGCACTTCGCGAACCTCACATCCTTGCAGTCCTCAACAATGGGCCGGCTGACGCAGTGCAAATAAAAGACCACGTTGCGGCACTCGTGGATGCGTACCTGGCGAGCAATCACCACGACGACGCTATCTCGCACGCGCGTCACATGCACAGGGCCGTTGACATGGCCGGCTACAATAACGCTGCTTTTGATCTCCTTAAGCATCAGGCTAGCGAAGGGGGTACCAATGTGTGCGTCAGGGCCCGCGTTGGAAGTGTCCATAGGACCGGTGCATGTAGGAAGCGACATGTCAACAACACACTGGTGGAGGTCGGTCAGTGTGCCAGCTGAGGTGGCACGCGAAGCCGAAGCCGGCAGTGTGATGTGCACACGAATGTGGTCGGACAGATCAATGTCGCGGGCAGTAGAAAAGGAAGGCTTGCGAATGCCGGAGTGATCTCCACCCTCGCCCTGACGAGTAACCTCGGCGTTGTAGTTCTTGGTCGGGCCGGTGGTTGTGGTGGATGTAAAGCTCGGCAGGGAGCCGACAGTGTCCTTAACCTCTGTCGGCTGCTGCCCACTGCTGTTACTATTCACGGCCAGATCGAGACGGCGGGTGTCGGCCTTGTCTGCCACGGCGGAGCCATTATCTGTGCGCTTCTTGAATTGAAAACGGCTTTTGGGCTTGAATTTGACTTCGGCCTCATTGACCTGGTCCTTCAGGGATTTGACCGTATCGGAATAGGTGCGTTGGTCATAGGCCGGGAGGAAGTCGGTAGCATCGGCTACGTCTTTGGAGAGGTGCGAGATACAGCTCAATGTATGCTCAACTGCATCTTCCCTCTCACCTCCCGCGGTAGAGAGCTTAAAAAGTCGGTCGATCTGCTCCTGGATGGCTATAATTTTGGACGTCAGCTTGGACCATGATCGCGCGGCAGCAAGGGGAATGAACATACAAGCGACAGAGACCTGGAACTGTCGATGGAATCGCTCTTTAGGATCGGGTGCAGACATCCTGGCTAATTCACCGCTGTGAGCGTAGCCTAGCAGGGTGTTCAAAAAGAGGTGAGTTATGAGTTTCGGCTTAAACTAAGAAAACCTTGAAGGTATCGTAGTCGCTGGGGCTAAGTGACTATTCCGAATACCCGATCTGGGGCAGCTGATCATGTGCAGTGCACTTGATGAACCAAATAAAATGGGAGGGGTGAAGGTACCTTGGTGGATAGAAGTACCTAAGAGATAGGTAAGGTCGGTTGGCTATGTAAATGAAGGGTTAAGAGTGAGAAGAGGAGTGTAAATGGATAGAATGTCAGGTACATACCTACCTGGACTGAGCCCTGCAAGTTCCAAGTTGGGACCTCCCCGTGGAATATAGCTGAGGAAAAAATCAAAATAAAGCGGTTTTATGTACAGGTTAAGCAGTGTAAGGGTACATAAAACTGGTCAAGGTCAGCTTACATTTGTAGGTAGCTTTCCGGAAACTTAGAATAGCAGGGAGAATACCTCTGCTGTCCTCATTCTGCGGGCGCCATACGCGTCAAGGACCTGGGGCTATTTTAGGTAATTTTCCGATCCGGGCCACCCTGTGTTTACAAACTCCCCGGTTAAGTTTCTTTGTGGGCATAGAACGCACTTTCCCTCCGTGAAATGTTTCACAGCCACGTGCCTCTGGCACTGTAGCTGGCGTGTAGTGTATGTGAGGTCTGACCGGGAAATCGAAGCAGGGGTCTGGACCGAAGTTGGCGGAGCCCGAGTGGGGTGTGTCAGGCCCTCAGGATGACTTCCGGAGACCCCTCTTTCAGAAACACTTATATAAACACCATGGTTTTTAGGTGCGTCCATCCATAACTTCCATTACAATGACAAAAGTCAGTGATGGTATTTAGAGTTTTTTGCTTAGATATGCTCCCTGGAGTATCCGGAACAGTGTCATGTCTCTGGTTATTATTGTCTACGATCTGCAAACACGGCGAAGCCACGACTCAAGGGAATTTATTGGCAGATTTTTTCCCTGTCAGCGGTGTTTCGGTCGGCGTGATATCAAACTGTACCTTGCCACGGGCAAGTTGGACATCATACTTATCGGTTGTTCTCTTCTCACTATTAAAACTATCATCATACCAGTTGAAGTGCAAGGGATAAGGGGTAGGGTATCACAGACTGTTGAGTCACAACATTCACAATGGTATAGGGAGAGAGAGGACAAAGTCAGATGACGTGGCCTATTAAGGTATAAAAGGAGGGCCTAGAACGGTGGGACATTGTAGTCCATAAGTCTACCCATACCCCCGTGATCTTCCCCCGGAGTGATTACTTGGGAATTTCTTCCCGTTGGTTAGAATAGGGACCTGGACAGGGGGTTTCCTCTTCTTGGGTTCTGGGAGCGAGTTGACTGCATCCCACATTTCCATAACTCCCGCTCTCCGTGCTGGGAGCATGCTGTACTGGAGACTGTACAGGTTCTTTCGGTTCAATGGTGGGACAAATTTGCCGGTGAGTAGGCACAGTAATACCCGTGGCGAGAGATAATGTTTGCGGATCCGCTGTCCCATTTGAAAGTATTGGTGGAACATGGCGGTGAACTTCAGAGGAACGGACTGTTTGCTGGCGGTTAAAAACACCCCCCTGTTGATGGGCACTGGCAAACGACTCACCTTCAAGTGTACCACAGAGATTGAAGTAGGAGGTGGGGATGGATCGTTGAGCGAATAATCAAAGTCTCGGGTATCTCGAAGTTCAAAGCGAACGCCACCTGTAGTCATGTTAACAGCCGAAAAGGACAAGGGTGGATTGTTAGAGGGGATATCACCTGGAAGCCTTCCGGGGTCCTTGACTCGAAGCATAAGCGCAAAAAGAGGGAAATGGTTCAGACACGAAAGCATGGTGTCGAAAACGGCCTTTAGTGAAATAATTATCATGCGTGCGATTGCAAAATTAAGATAGAAAACTACTACCGTTGGGAGCAAGAAGAAAAGAAGGGTGAAGAGGATAGTCCCAACGAGTAGCTGGTCGAGATCATAGTCGCACGAGTCGATGCGGTTCCGGAGAACGTTGTGCTTCTTGCCCCTGAACAAGTGAAACAGGGAGATCAGGATGTTGAGCTGCCAATGGTAGATGCGCGCCGAGGCTAGGTAGAAGGAGTAGATGTGCACGGTCAAGATAGAGAGAAGGTCGGAGAAAAGGGCAATCGGCATGCTGGCACCGGCGAAACTCGAAAAGCCGATGAAGAGAATGATGTGTGGCAAGACCGGGCGAAGCGCCACGATACAGCCTAGTTCTTGGTCAGCAGCCGTTTCCATAAGGAGATCAACGTTGTGTCAGAGGAAAGAGGGAAAATGTTAGAAGAGCCATACTCGACCAGTAATCAATGACCCATAGGAACAAATCTCCGAGAAATGCGCCCAATTCATTGTTCAGCTTCAACCCGGCTGGCCATCCCATAAGCCAGGAAATACTAGTTTGCAGCGCATCCACTGTGTATTGGCTAAGGAGTTGACTGATCTCCTCGGCCACCCAACTGGCATTATCGATGATGTAGGAACCTAGTGCAATGCCAATTATCACGTCGTTGGCGACCAGCCAGAGGCTGTTGTAAAAGCGGATGTAGTCGGGGTGACTCGTGGTTACGCTTTCCCAGTCATTCTTCCGGCGCCGAAGAGTGACGTACTGCATCGGCCAGTAGCAAAATTGCTGGAGACGGATCTCGACCTGCTGAGCTGTGGCCGAAATATCTTTAAGTGCGGCATACTTTGGCTGCGCACGCCATTCCAAGATGCGCAGGAGCAGTTCGGCAGCAATGCGGTGGCCCATTAGCCCCATGACGAAGATCCTTTTGATGATCGGCCACACGTAGGCGGTGAAAAGGTTCCACATCCAAACAAGCATCATGTCTCGCGCTGTTGTGGCCGACTCAACGACCCTCTCAGAAACACTCAAGCTCCGCTTAGGGCGCGTGCCAATGCGAGAGACGTTCTTCTGTAAAAGCGTTTCCAGCTCCCACGCCCAGTTGATTTGGTTCACGATTTTAGCAAGCGCCTTTTCTTTCTCTGAGGGAATGCGCTTAGAGATCGAATGCTGCCTGAGCTTTTCAACAAGCCGTTTCTTATGATCCTTCTTCCTGCGCTCGTCCTTTTCATCGTCGTCCTCGCTCCCGTCAGGCACCTCTTGCCGAAAGCTGTCATGCTTGTCATCCAACGCTAGAGCGATGGGATGGAGTGACATATACTGCATCCTTTCCGGCTGTGGCCGTTCAAAAAGTATGAGTTGGACGCTGGAGGCACGGGAACAGGTCACGGCCGGTATTTGACAACCGGGCACCACGGTTGCTCGTATCCATGATGGGTCGACATCGGCGGTGTCGGGTACGTTGGCAAGACCAAGTACGTTGATTGTTGATTGGCCACAGAGCTCGTAGATGCGGCTTACCGGATGGGGGGCGTTCCGAAGGAGTGTGCCGACCTTAAGGGCAAACTCGACATTTCGAGGCTAGTATCTGTTAGTCCTCTTGTGCGGTGCCCTAGTGTTTTACCAGGAAGAGGGGAAGACCCAGCATACTTCAACTTCCTCCAAGACAGCCACAACAAAGACATCTAGAGCGGAGTTTTTCCACCCAACCACCACGCCCTGGAGATCTGACCGTGGCAGATCAGCCGGCCAAAACACACGCATCAGGCCATCACTCTCTGGCATGTCAGGTAACAATCGTGGCGCGACGGATCAGAAAGAGCCACGTCGTCTTAGTTGTTCTCTCGCCGAGATTCCGGAAACTGTAGATCGTGGGTGCTGGGACATGGATTGGTCAGCAGGCATTGGGGCGTGGGGCGCTCAACGGAAGGCGTGGACTTGTACTGTCATACCAGATTCCCTTCGCGGGTCGCGAGACGCTCGACCGGTAAGAAGATCAGAAAGAAAACGAGGCTGAGTACGACGAATCCTTTGGCGGCGCGAGTCTATCACGAAAGACACACTGTTAGGCTTTGGATGAGACTACTGGGGTCAGTAGGGGTCCTCACCACCACTCCGTAATTCCAGGCAAAGATGGCGAGTTCATAGAGGCGGGTGACTAAATCCCATCGAGCAGTGATGTAGCCAGCTACGAAGATTCCAAGCGTCAGGACAGAGAAGGGGTGCATAGAATCGCGAAAGTCGCTATGGCTTGACCATTCCGGGCCAAGGCAGAGACTCGGCGGTCGTGAGCGCTCGATTCGTTTCGATTCGTCGGGAGGGAGAAGCGGAAGCAATGGCGTCAAAAGCGTTCGACACAGGGCTGGCGGTATGCGCGTGCGAGCTCGAGAATCGGTAGTAAAGAAACAGCGTGAAAGGCGCAGGACCTCGGCTTTAAACTCCGACTTGGCATGAGCATTTGTTGTCCCAGATCTTGGGAGGATGTCAAAACCTGTCTGGAAACAACCCAGGGGCCCGGACGGACTGTGTGGTCCGTGCATATGTGGGGCTTGAAACCCCAAGACCTGACCTCCCATCAATGGGAAAGCCAAACGGTCACATAAGTCTTTCCTCCCGACGAGGAATGAGGACAATCTTTGGGCAGGGGGAGGTATCCAGTTAAACAAAATCAAGGTATATTAATGACAGATTATAGTAGTACAACAGCCGGGAGACCGACTGCGTGGCAGAAGCCAGCTATCTCCTCTGGTTCCCCGTCGCACGCCGTTCTGCATGGAAAGTTGGTCAGGGCGCGGCGAATTAGAAGTAAATAGATACCGATGTCGAGTATCTCTGCCTGGCAAGAAAATATGGCTGTGTACTCACACTTCTTCTTCCCCATCAACGTCGCGTCATTTTCCTTGTTGTCTTCTCGAGCCTCGTCTAGAAGTTTGTCTATTCCGCGAGCCTTCAGCGCCCCCTAAATTATTCCCACCATGAGCGACTGATGTTTTGGACGACCTATGTATCCACAAAAGAGACACAAATGGAGACCTTACTTTGAGACAGGTGCTGTATTCTTTGAATAACACAGCACATTCATTATTGTCTGTAGTGCCTATTCCTCGAAGATATTCTGTCGCCTTGTCCTTAGCTCGTCGGCCAGGCGGAGCAGAGCTTGCTTGGGAAAGAACTTACTTTCGCTGTACCATTTAAGGAAGCAAGTGTCATATCGCCTGTCCAGAAACTATTCATTAGCTCTGCTTTTTGATTCTAGAAGTACCCCGCTCACTCCTTAATTTCATTGCATTCTGGAGCGAGTGATTGCGACATCTCGGTCGATCAAGGTACACGGGCGGGATGACTCTTTTATCGCCGAGTCGGGGTCTTCGGTGCTGCTTCAAGTCCTCCGATTTCCAGGTTGCAGCAACTCCATGTGGCTCTTATCTTAGCGTCATACTGCGGGCTCTGATTGGCTGGAAGGTAGTTTTCGCGTGTGACAGGCCGTCTTATCGGATTTTTGCAGGACAAAGTTCGCAAAGGCCCAACTTCACGCTCGACTCTTGCGATGCGCTTTCAACTCGCCAATTGCGCCCGCCGATCAAATCACACCGCTATTAGTGTCGTCGGGATCATGGACTCAACGCATGAGCTCAAGCCGTTGCGGAGCTTGGTTCATTCTGCCCTCGTTGCGGTCACGCGCTCTGTCAACACTCTCGCAAACGAAGACCTCCGGTTCCAGCGAACTGTCCATACCTCGGTTGCGACCCGCCTCGACCAGAACACCGATCGCATTCTCAAGTTGGCGGATGGAGTCCTCAAATCTGCCAGCCGGTTCACCGCACAGAGACGTCCTAAATTAGACGATGTAGACGATGTCGAGATTCAATGGAAGGGCGTGGTGGATGTGATCGACACGCTGTTCGAGAAATCGGATACCTGCCTCGACGAGTACACTGGGCTAGTGAAGAAAAAAGATGCCCCTGCCGCCGAATCTGTGCGAACGACTGCTTCCAATACTCTGGTCTTGATCTGCATGCTGATTCTTCTTCAGGGTAGTGACCTAAAACGGGCCAAACCAACCAATACCGGGTTGGCTTGGTCTCTCAGGCGGGCAAATATCCTCAAGCCCCAATCCAATTTCGAGAAAAAGCCACAGGATCCGGAATCAGGCCCATGGAAACCCCAAGTTACCGCTAAGCCTCACGCACAAGTCCCTTTGGCAGCTAGTTTTGTGACATTCGTCAACGGGGGAGGGCATTCCCAGTACATCTCACCCAGAACGAAGTACTCTCAATGCCTGGTTTCATGCTGATTGTTATAGGTATAAGCATCCATACGAGCACGAAATCGCTAGCATGAGGTATCCGGCAGAAGTTTACCAACGCTGCGAACCCACGAAGTATCCGCCAATAGATCACACACAAGCTGTATGGGTGGACACTTTTGAGGATGTTTTGGAAATGTTGGAGGAGCTGAAGAAAGCCAAGGAGATTGCTATTGATCTAGAGCATCACGACTACCGGTCTTACAATGGACTTCTTTCGTTGATGCAAATCAGCACGCGGGATAAGGACTGGATAATTGACACCCTTGTGCCGTGGAGACACAAGCTTGAAGTGCTCAATGAGGTTTTTGCAGATCCAAAAATTGTCAAGGTAAGCCTGTCCATGGGTTCTCAACTGTATGCGGTCTCTAAAAAGCCTAGGTTCTTCATGGTGGTTTCATGGACATCATCTGGCTCCAACGTGACTTGGGGTTGTACGTGGTCGGGCTGTTTGATACCTTTTACGCTAGCGACACGTTGGGCTATGCGAGGAAAAGTCTTGCTTTTTTGCTCAAGAAGTTCGTTGATTTTGATGCGGACAAGAAATATCAGCTTGCCGACTGGCGCATAAGGTTCGTTATTATAAATTTGTCTGTCTTCATCTGCTCAACTGACATTTGATCCCTAGACCCCTCCCTCAGGAGATGCTTTACTACGCCCGATCCGACACCCACTTCCTTCTCTACATTTACGACATGGTGCGGAACGAGCTTGTGCAGCTAGCCTCGCAAAACGACGGCACGATGAATCCCATCGACCGTGTCCTCGAGAAGTCTAAAGAAGTGTCTCTACAGCGCTATGAACATCCAATTTGTGACGCAGAGACGGGCGTGGGAAATCGCGGCTGGTTCAATACGCTAGTCAAATCACCAGCTTTGTATAACGGGGAGCAGTTCGCCGTTTACAAATCGGTATACAAGTGGCGGGATGATCTCGCACGCAAGGAGGACGAAAGCCCGACCTTCTTCATGTCCCAGCAAGCCATCAATGAGATAGCACGCATCTTACCTACGGATCGGATGGCCCTCTGGAACTTGCTGGGGCCCAATGCCCATATACTCCGGTCCCGTGTTGACCAGCTTTTCGAAGTCGTTCAGGCGGCCCGGAGGAATGGCGTGAATGGACCGACAAAGTTGCAGTTTTTTACGCAATTCTCCTCAGAAACCGGACCAACACAACAACAACAGAAACCTGCCGCAGAAGGAGACAACAAGCCACTCGAGATCGAAGAACTCAAGAGTAGTCGTTCTCAGTTGTGGGGTGACATGGCCATCAACTCTGCCCTCGATGGGACATCTAAACCTCGCCCGATGGACGAAAAGGACTTGATTCCGCTCTATAGCTTCGACTTTGGTGCCGTTAGGGAAGAGCTGCCGGACGGTCCGACACCATCGCCCCACGATGCCGTTGAGAAAGCCCCAGGGGTTCGTGCCGTTTTTGAGGACGAAGGCTTCACACTTAGAACTGGGAAAAAGCGGAAAGCCAGCAGTGAATCCACCAAATCTTCAAGCGCAAAAGCTGGGAGTACGCCCCCCGAAACTGATGAATCCGGACGAACGGTGCTGCCTGACGCATCGATTTCCGACTCGGAGAGCAGCAACACGGAAGCATTAGAGGGGGATACTGATCTACCCTCTTCCAGCGGAAAGAATGCCGGTCAAGCGGAGGCCAAGCGCGCCAAGCACGAGGTTGAAGTCCTTCGGAACAAGATGGGGGCGACAGCATCCCAACAGCTGAAGGCGCAAGCAGGTTCCGAAGACCATTCGCAGTTGCAGGCTCAAGCGCAAGCCCACGACGAAGTTCCGTTCGATTATGCCAACGCCTCGTCCGTGCTGCGAGCCCCTTCAAAGGGTGACCACAACAACAACGACGGCAGCGGGGGCAAGGGTGGTAAAGGCAAAGGCAAACGTGGCGGCAAGGCGGCGTTTGACCCATATGCCAAAAAGTCAGGGGACGCGCCGCAGGGCGCTAGGAAATTGAATTATGAGCGGGCTGGACGGACGGCGACGTTTAAAAAGTGAAGTGAACTGAAGCTATGATTTGGGCTGGCTTTTGGGGCATCAAGGGCGTCGGCGCGGAATCGGGAGAAAGCATATGGTGTTAATTGGGCAAACGAGGGGTATTTGGGGAGATGACAAGCATACTTCATAAGTTGCTTGGATTTTAATTGAATTCATAGCAGCGCTTGTGTATACATTACATTGCATCTTCTGGGTCGGCAAATGAGAAGGTCAAAAGCATCAAAAACGAACGCAGAAACGAGGCTTGGAATCAAGCGGCTGGATATCTGATACGTAATCCTGGCAGCCGGCGCAATTAGGACATGCCCCGACCGTGCCTAAGCATGGAGCTCGGAGTATTTAACGAAGGTAAGCAGGATATGTGGTTCATCAGAAGTAGTTGGCGCCATACACGCGGACCATGTGCTGGGGAAGGAATTGCATTCTGGCTGACGGTGCTAGATAAACACTAGGAAAAGTTGAAAAAGAGCACAACCAGTTGACGGTGAAAAGCAAATTACAGTCCAAGCAAGTCGCAATTCCCAAACTCCTATCATGTGCGGGTTGTCCGTCCCACCCTTAACCTTTACTTCGCGGCAGCCAGACCCACGGTGTTGGCACCAAGGTCATAAATAGAGTAGTACCTGCGGAGGAAAGCATCACCCAGAATGGCAAGGGGCCCAGTAGGCGCCGGGAAATCCATGCCCATAAAGGTGGAAATGCAGCTACCACTGACTTCGAGGACGTAGTCGTAGGGGCCGAGAGTGAAGTTGTAACCGGCCAGGTTGAAGGTGACATCCTTGAGGGAATCGCGCTTCTCACAATCAATCGCATACTGCCCAGCATAGTTCTTCTTGGCGCCAATTTGAGCGTTGAGCATTTCAGCGAGCTGGCTCGGGAGCGCGATCAGAGAAGTACCGGTGTCAAGGATAACGCCAGTGTTCTCAAGCTCGGCCGTGTCATCGCCGTAGGAGAGGGCATCAAAGTCGACCTCCCAGTACGCCTTGCGCCGCAGTGGGATGGTGGTGATCTTGCCGGTGTACTTGTCCTTGTCCACACCCCCAAAAACCACCTCAGACTCTCCGTCACTGTCGGCGAGGTAGAAGGCAAAGACAGGCTCGTCGATCAACTTCTGCTCAACCATCTTGTAAAAGGGGGGAACGATCCCATTGACTGAGATGGTGTTGTAGCCAAGACCCAGGATGCCATCGAAACGGCCAAACGCGAAGGCAAGACCGGGTTCACTGGTGGCCTCGGCAAAATCCTGACCCTTGACTGTGATATCGCCAATAGTCAATGTATCCTGCGAGACAAAACCGCTCAGGCTGCCGGATCCGTACCGAATCTCAAACGAGGTCCCGTTCTTCTCGTAGCTGGATGAAGCGGAGGAGTCGTACTTGGAATGCAGGTAGCATGCGATCGAGCCACACTGAACGGATGGAACCCACAGGTTCGAGCTACCAGTGTCGAGGACAACCTTGAATGTTTGGGGGGGGTTGCCGATGGTGATGTCGGAGAAATCTAGCAAGCGAACCCGTTAATTATGGTTGCGCAAACAAACAAAACAAACAGGGGATAGCATGACGTACATTGGGCATTCATGAAGTTGGAAATGGGAACTGGGTGATTTCCCTTGACATCGGCCATCATGCCGTCAAACACAACGCTGCTGTGGGATTGGCGCGGGCGGATGCCCATGTACTTCTGGCCGAGATGCTCAAGCTGGGTGTTGATGGGAACAGCTTCCTACACGCGACAATCATTAATACTGGTCAAGGAGATGGAGATGGGCGCAAAACCGTACAAGTTGCTCCGAAAGAGGGACTTTCTGCAGCTTCATCTTGTGGACAGCACCTTGGGCAGAGCCCAGCAGCAAGGCTGCCGTCAGCAGGGCGCCTTTCATCTTCGGCGACGCGGTCGATCGGTTGGGAGGGATAGAGAAGGGAAAAAGTCGAGGTCAGCGAGGACGGTCGGATTCCTCGGCAACCACGATGAAAATGGCGATAAACGACGGTATCGGCGGTCGCGTGGGTGGGTGGAACGAATGATGAGTTGGTTGTTGAGGAGAGGTTGGGGCGGACCGGTCGGGGGCGGAAGCGAGGGTAAAGGCGTTCCTCCAAATACAGGGGAGGCGATTGATTACGTAGTGTACTGGGGTGCGGATTCGCTGGCGCATGCGGCAGGTAGCCCCAGGTTGCCAGGACACAATGGCACGTGCACGTCCCTGACACAGCTTGGCACGAAAGTGACTGGGCGCTTGGGAGAACGACAGCGAGTGTTAACATACAATGACGGTTGTTGGAACAAATAGGATAATAGGTATACAAAATATAGCCCATAGGCTGAAGGACGCACTCCAGATACCTCCGTGAAAACCCTACGTTGACTCGATTACAGTGATGGGTCAATCCATTCCATCCTGCACACGCGTTATCTCAGGAGCTCAGACCAGGTGTGGCGGCACTCCCAAACCTCACACTCTTATTCGGCCAATCCAAGAACCCATTTTACGGGTCCATGCCACCCTGTGGCGCATCTCGCTCTGGCCAAAAAAAGCGGCACACTCAAATAGCTCGAATCCAATCCATTAACATTCGATCAAATCTTGATAAATGTTGATTGATTTACTCTTTTTTATCTTCTTTCACTTTTTTTGGTTTATTCTTTTTGGTCTTTTTCACCTTTGTAGCAAAGTAAGTTATCCAGGGATTGGTCTGCCGCTTTTTTGGCCATAGCGAGCGCATCAACCCTAACCCTCAAGAAACTATGATCCAGAGAGACCGTTAACCGACGGCGAGAACGGCAACTCCAGGCAGCAGTTGGGAACCGAAATGCGACAGCAGTTCCATTAGAGGGCGATACCAATCACGCCTGACTTTCTGGTTGGACCTGGGACTCTCATTGAAGGCATTCCACACACTGTCACACACAGAGTCAATTTGCTGTCTCTTCATCGCGGTTGCGGCAGTGGAAGGCCCGTAGGCGCGACTCCTAGTTCGACTAGGGTGTTCAAACCACGGTTCCTCTTTGACGATGTTACATAGCGGTCAGTTGCGCCCACCCATGACACTCTTTGTTGGGATTTGGCCAATGGCTCGTTAATTCAACACATCTATTCGCCCATGAATCAGGAAAATTCGAAAGAACAAGGCTCTCTCCCAACTAGTCCGAGATGCGGAGTATGGACCCCGATTCAATAGTTTGCCCGGAGAAGGGTGCTTATCTGCATCTGAAATAAGGCTAGTGTACAACAGTTTACCTCCTTCACTAATATTACACTAATATCTCCTTCTTGCCCTAGAGGGGAGACTGAGTCCGCCAAGATGTCCAGCGCCTAGTTTTCCGCCTACAAGGACTCGCTCTCCAAGTTTCCTTTTTCTCAATCAACTAAACCTTCATTCATATCCTTCTCATCCTTTCTGGGCTGAGCCTTCTTGTGGGCCTTGTTGCGCTTCCGGTTGTCGCGGCATTCATCTTGGATCTCCAAGGTGACAAGCGCGCGGTTGCCAAATATACGAAGCTCGTCAGAGGAGACCTTTTCGTCCGTATAGTGGAGCCACAGAGCGTTCTGGAGCCGGTAGGGGATGCGCTTGAAGAACTCCCTCTTCCAGATTTCCTTAGGTGTCCTGGACTGAAGTGCCAGCAAGTAGAACTTTCTAGCAAATTCACTGTAGGTCATGTCTCCATAGTCAGCGCTTCAAAGGCATGCCATGCCTGGTGCGTCTTGACAAAGTCGGAAGCCGAGGGATCGGCCTCGTCCTTGAATTTGCGGGGTATCGCACCCCCGAACGCCTTCGACCTCACACCGTCTCTCTTATTGTCGAATGTCGGGCTTCCGTGGGCGCAAGGGACATTGTGAGGACCCTCAGTATCGGGAATAGAGGTGTCAGGATTGCGAGCAGGGGAAGCAGTGGCCAACTGAATGTTCGTTCGCAGGACCGCATTGAGCTCCTTGTAGGTGTCACTGGCCTCCTTGCGGGTGTCACTGAGCTCCTGCGCTAGGTTCTCACGTTCGATCCGCACCTTGGCCAACTGCTCAGTAAGTTGTATGACCTGGGGCTCGCTCTGTTGTTTGGCTTCTCGACTCTCAGTCTTGGGGTGGCCTCGGTATTCGGGATATTGGGCTTCATATTCGCGCACGCGTTGTAAGGCGGCGATGTATAGACGGCCCTTTACATCGAGGGCCTTCTTCAGCTCAAAGGTAATCGAGAGCGCAGCGTCGCGCCGGGCGGCGAATTCTTTGATGTTTTGCAGAGCGGCCTCGGGGTTCGCTGTTACCCAGGCTTCATCGAAGGCATGGATCTCGCCTTGGGGAGTTCGTCCAGTTATCCTATTTTTTACCCGGTGGCTGGCTCGGTGGTCGGGCGCGTCGACGGGAGGCGTATCGGAATGGAGGGGGGGTGGAAATAGAGAACCTGGGATTTCTGTTCGATTAGTATGTAATTTGTGTGATTTTGTAGGTTACAGACTGGTGAGCCAAATTTGGCTATATAAGGAGATGATTTGTGTGGCATACGTTCGTTTACTGTTGTTGGATAGCTGTGGAAGGAAGAAAAGCAGGGTAAGGTTATACAGGGGGCAGGGAAGAATACACAAAAAACTAGATTTGAAGGGAAAGAACAAAAA